TTTTATTTATAAAAAAAAGCTAGTGAAATAAAAAAGAAACTAATATTAGCCAAAAATAAAGAGTTCCGTGAAAATAATTTTGAAAGTATTTTTAATATTTAATGTTAAAATCTAATAAAAGTAAGTCTAATGAAAGGGAATACACCTGTATGAGAATTGTGCCTCACCAGACTTCTGAAGATTAAAGGGATGTCTTAGAAAAGAAAATTTCTGGTAGATTTTGCGTAAATTTACTACCACTAAAAGAAGACTGTGTTAATATTGACATGTCCACAACATCATCGTACCTACGTATCCACATTAAAAATTAAGTTATAAATTAAAGATCTTCTAGGTCAAAATCATCTTCTCTTTTTTATCCTTCCAATCTGAATCTTTGTTCGTCCTCATCACCCCTAACACAATTGCTTTAAAAGGTCATCCAGCTCGAAGTCAACACAAAACAGCAGAATTAGCTTCCCTAGCAATAATTTTACCTAGGCTCACGTTGGGTTCAAAATTGGCTCAATATAGGTTCTATAAGAACTTGCCGAGGGACCCATATTGGGATGTCTAGATTTTTTTAATATGGGTTCTAGAATGGCCTGTATAGGCAACACCTCCTAGAAGTATGAAGGCCTCAGCACGGATCAATTTAGTAGTCCGATGTGACGAAGTTAACTGCGCAGTTGATGAAAAATAAGAAAGATGTCATTACGTTCGGGGTATTAAGCTGCGCAGTGGTTGAAAATACGATATATGTCATTACGTTTGGACTACTAAAGGATAGTTATGGTAACCCGTGCAGAGGCCTACTCTTTTCTAGGAGGTGTTGGTATTGGGCCCACATTGGCCAGTATAGAACCTACATTGGATAAACAATGAAAATTCTATGTAGGACCGCGATATTGGTTGTAAAGTGGCTGTAAAATATCGGCTGAACCGGACAATGCTATATAGGGCCAATATAGGAAAAATAATGGCCTTTTGAACCTTATTGAGCCACGATTTTTGGCCCAATGAGGGCCCAAGTTAGTTTGCTGCTTGGGTTAATTCGTATTGCTCTTTGTACAAATCTCAAACTTTTTTGCTACCTAGGTTTAATAATAATCAGGTTGATAATTATTTTACTAAGAAGGAAAGAAAGATTTTCCTAATTCTTAAGATTAAAGTTTTAAAAAGCCGACTTTTATCCCAGCTGTAGAAAGATTTTATGCATTTTATCAAGTGACAGACTCAACAGTAATTCATTAACTGTTACGGATCTGATGAATGGGTAAAAACCATGTTTAGCTAAAGTATTCATCACCTTTTGACAAGTGAAGTGAAGTCGATGGTCTAAACATAAATTTTTGATGGAAGTTTTACGAAAATTAGTGTACATTAGGTGTTTTTTAAAAAACATTAATTTCCTCTTTTCCTAAATGAGATTTTCCCTCCCATATCAATTGTCATCGTAAACTACACAAAAAACGCGATGTATATGTTACCGGCAAAGTACGAAACGCCGGCATTGTATAGAATGACTAGGCATTATATAGAATGCCTGCCGTTTTTAGGCAAAGTATGAAATGTGAGAAGTATTACATACTTTGCCTAGCCATTGTGTAGAATGCCTAGGCATTCTATACAATGCCGGATGCTGTTTAGGCAACGTATGAAATAAACGTCCTGATGAGGTTATTATGTAAATGATGTGCATGTTACTGTGAATGAGAGAAATTGGTGGTTGTTGACTTTCACCGGTGGTTGCTGACAATCACACAGTCGCTTTGGTGAATGTCCGAAATATTTATTACATCTGATTTGATATTAATTCGTGGATATAATTACATTTATTCGATATTTTAATACTTACTGACGAAGAAACATCAGTGTTTGGAGTATCGGGCAAATGTATACCGCGCAGTGACCCTTGACCTTAAAAAAACATCAGTGTAGGGTATACTGGGCAAATGAATACCGGGCAATGGCACTTGATCTTAAAAAAACATCAGTGTAGGGTACACCGGGCAATGGCGCTTAAGTAGACCTAGTATATATTTCGGACATTTACCAAAGGTCCAGTCATACTAGTTCTAGTTAAGTGCCACTGCCTGGTATACATTTGCACGGTATACGCTACACTGATGTTTTTTTAAGGTCAAGTGCCACTGCCCGGTATATATTTGCCCGGTATACCCTACACTGATGTTTCTTCTAATCTATCGTCAGTAAGTATTAAAATATCGAATAAATGTAAAACTACCGATTTCGGTCATTCACAGTAACATGCATTTGTCCAAAATAAAAATGTTATTCTGAAAAAATACTGAGAGCGCCATTGAAAAACATTTATTCAAATTGTGGAAAGAAAATAAAAAAGTTATGCAAAACAAAATTTAAGCTTTTCTTATTAAGGGAAACAAAATTTTCATATAAAAAATATGAAATTTACCTACTTGTTGCCACATGGCAGGCTTGAATGATATTTTGAATTAAATTTTATTAAATTTTTCCATGTAAATTTTAATAAATTCCACCATTTCCATGTAGCACAGTAAAAAAATAATTTTTGTTATTAGTCAAAAGTCACGAGCCTTGCCAAGTGATATTTGAAACGAATGGGAGATGTATTTTATGCTTTGCCAGTTTCTCATTTGGCAATCTATAGAATGCCAAGGAAATGTGTGAAATATAAATCATTTCATACTTTGCCGGCTAATTTTAGGCATTCTATACAATGCCTAGTCATTCTATACAATGCCTAGTCATTCTATACAATGCCTAGTCATTCTATACAATGCCTGATTTCATACTTTGCCGGTAACATATACAATGTTTTCTCAATTTATTTAACCACAATCCATTTCGGTGCATCGTACGAAAGCGCAGAGTGTGTCCGCATACTCTAAGCTGGATTTGATGGTGAGGATTTTTGCTATCAAATACAACTCAGCTTAATTTTTCGAAGAATTTTTTATTTCTGGGTTTATCTCCCGCCCTCTGAAATCGAACTAAATATTTCTCGTATTTTTGCCGCTCATAAGAATTAACTAAACATTGCCAAATTGCTTCTCTTAATAACAAGTTTTTCTTCTTTTTTTCCTTATTCTTAATTTCTTCACTGGTGAAGCTCTTATTACTTTCCTGCACTGTTCTATTTATTGATCAGCATGCTACCGTGAATGATCAAAATCAAGAGAATGTCGACTTTCACTGGGGAATGTCGACAATCACATAGTCGTTATGGTGAATGTCAGAAATATTTGTTATATATGATTTGATATTCATTTATTCGTTGATACTATTGTATTTATTCGATATTTTAATATCTACTGAAGATATGATTAGGAGAAATATCATTGTTCGCAGTACTGGTTAAATGCATACCGGGCAGTGGTCCTTGACCTTAAAAAACATTGATGTAGGGCATACCGGGTAAATGTACACCGGGCACTGGCCTAGTATGTATTTCGGACATTTCCTGTGATTGTCAACATTCACCGGTGGAAGTCAACAACTACCCATTTCCGTCACTCACAGTAACAAGTACATAGCCTCAAACTTGACTTTGGGATCATAAATATTTCGGACATTCACCAAAGCGACTAATTTGATTGTCAACATTCACCGGTGGAAGTCAACAGCCACCGATTTCGGTCATTCACAGTAACATGCACACCATTTACATAATAACCTCATCAGGACGATTATTTCATACTTTACCTAAATAGCATCTGGCATTTCAAAAAATAAAAATAATTGGTTTTGTTGGCGACGATCTCGTAAGGCGATAAGGAATCATGCATAGTACAGGTGAGAAAGATATTAACCTCGAAGGAAAAGTGGATGAATACCCCAAGGAACCGATGAAATTATTCTAAATCATGACAAAATTATCACCTGATTGGATAATTTAATATGAAAAGGTAAAATGCCCCTTCGGAGTCTTCAGCAAACTACGATAAACTTTGTCGAAGATGTTTTGAAGAAAGGCAGTATTATTAGAATATTTATCCTGAAGATGAAGATTAATTCTAGTTGGAGCGAAATAATGATTGCTCGTGGGCGACAGTGTCTGTAGAATTATTTCGATGAATATTTGTGAGAAATAATTATTATCCAAAATTCTAGATGAACATGATTTTCCGAAACTCTTTCTTTCGCCAAGGAAAATTAAAAAGTCACAGTCACAGTTTAGGTGCCTTTCACTTGAATCAAAGCTATAATTTTAAACTATATGTGCTATCTTGCTGTAAAGGATTGTCTGAGCCTTAGAACGGACAATTTAAACATTTTAAAAGTCATGAAACTTACTTAAAACTCGCCAATCCGGGGACATTTTTTCACCTAGATGAAAACTATAAAAATCAATACTTTATTCTCATTTTTTTGCAATTTTTTAAGAGCAAAGATTATGCAACATGGGTGAAAGTTTTTAAACATTGAAAAATGAGACCACAAACGCTTTTCATTTTCTTACAACTGTTTCTTTTCTTCGTCTTGACGTTTGTGCCATTTTCAGAATAAATGTAGAGGGTGAACTTGACCAAACAGTTATGAGTAACTGTTGCAAACTATCAGCAGTTATGAAAGTAGCAAATCATTCACAATAGAGCAGTCTTAATGTGATGTGTTAGGCTACAATAATAAAGGATGTCTCTGAAAGTAGATTTTATTTTGCACTCAATTAACAGTTGTAATATAAGAAGATTACCGATTATATTAAGGATTATAATTTATTAAAAAAAAGGGATTAAATAAGATAAAAATTTAGTCCTTAAATGTTAGAAAACATGCTATGCAGTATTTTTGTATGATAGTATGTTAGAGTTTATAACGCTCTGAAATCTCTATGAGTGCTTCAATATTTTGAATGTGATACATTTTGCATTGATGCGAATATGAACGAAAGGAAAACCAGTAAAAAAAGAAGAAGAAACACGTTTACTTAAAATTTAAATTTATGGATGGTCCCTTATCGGTTTCTCTCTTCAAAGATTATTGAACAGAACAGCTGATCTCATCATTTAATGTATTGATAGAGAATAAACTATTCAGAATTTGTGTAAGCATTGATCATGAATGGAGCAATTTTGTTTAGCTTAGCTATTAGTTTGATGCTGATAGCGTTGACTCGCGCCCAAAACAACACTCACGATGATGATTTGGGAATGATGCAGTATGCCAAGATCGGTAAATTTTATCCTCTCTTTAATTATCAGTTAATGTCAATAAAATAAAATAAAAAATAAAATGCTTTACGCTAGGAAAAAAAAATCGATGTTATGAAATAAAGATAAAATGTTGAATGAAAATATTGAAAGTTTATTTATTTTTTTTTTCTTCTGATCAATGGTAAGCTTTTTTTTCCTTTCATATATTCTCTCCTGTAAGAAAAGTAATTTCAACTACAAATAGCGGACATTGTTAAAACACGCTTTCCTTATTATTTACATTGATTTTAGTTTATGAGACTTTAAATAATTGCCTAAAAGGTGGAAGGATCACAGAGACTTCGACAGTTAGAGCTGTTTTAGCCAGTATTATTGATTGATTTAAAATTTAATTCACTTCAAAAATATACAAAATGGAAATAACAGTCGACATGTTTGAAGCGCTAAAAAATACTTGCCCAATTTCAAGACTTGCCAGACGTAAATGAGAAGAAAGAAGAGTAATTTGAAATAGAGAACGTAAAGTGGTTAGCAAAAAAATAAAATAAATAAAAGTGAGAAACAAAACTTTAAAAAAAAATAAAAATAAAAAAACCCACAGTAGTCGAGAGAGAAAAAAGTTTAAAAACAGGACGAGAAAACCCAGAGTGGCCAAGATTTCCACGCGCTATGGAGGAGTGGTGATGAATGAATGTCGTAATTGTTATATTTATATCCTATCAATAAATCATAATTTAATTAATATTTCATTTGCTTACATGAAATTATTTCTGTAAAATCACAAGAACAAAACTATTTCCTTCAATAATAATATAAAATTACGCAATCGATATGCATTCATAAAATAACCAATAAGTATTCTTCATCGATATTTTCAATTACAAAATAATAAAAATATCTAATTTAATAAATAAAGAACTACGTTTCTTTATTAATATTCTCAATGTTTATAACAGCTTATTAGTCTTATTTTATGCATTTTCAGCACAACTCGGAACAAATTCATATCAGCATTAATAATTTGTTCTTCCCGTTAAATGCTTTCAAAATAATATTAATAATAATAATAATAATTATAATTATTTTGAAAAATCGGGAATCCCTGCTGACGGGGAAAACCAAAATCGAGCATAGTTAGTATGTTATGTATTTATTTTTTTATCATTTTTAACTCATTCATAATTTGGCTTACAAAAACTTTTTCTTGATACACATCGGTTATGTCCTTTAGAACAAAATTGTTTTTATTTTTCTACATTACATTAAAAAAAAATTCTAAAGTTGATTGTTGGCACATTCTCGTTAGTGTAAACACCATATGGTATGATTTCTTAATTAAAAAAGGCTCAAATTAATGAGTTTGTCATCAGCATAATAATAGTTATCATCATCATCATCATAGTTGGCCAGACAGACCAATGTGAGCCAATNCAGCATAATAATAGTTATCATCATCATCATCATAGTTGACCAGACAGCCCAATGTGAGCCAATACCTTCCTCTGAAGATTTCTCCGTGACGACTTCCGATTTATCATTGATTTCCAATTTTTTTCATTAATTGCGAGAAAATCAGACTCCATAGAGTCAGCCCATCTCATCTTTATTTTAACTGTAACAACTGTTTAACTGTTTTCTTTTTTAACGGTATTTTTCTGTACTATTTATTTATCATCTTTCCTTAGTATTATTCTCTGATATTATTACTCATTTAATTTTGATTAATATTCCGAATTGAAACCTTAAAACTAAAAGCGGTATTCACTTATTTTAAATGAATGCTGTGACTGTAATTAACTTTACAACATTTCCTGATAAACATAACTAAACGATACCTAACTTACATACCATTTCATATTTATTAAACTGTAGCGTTTAATAAATGTAAAATAAGGTATATTTTCACCCATAACAACTTTTTATTTTTATTTTTATTTATTTATTTTTATTACCGTCATTGAACAGCCGACCCAATTTGTGTTTACGACTACCAATGTTCAACTCAGTAGTCTCGTAATTTTGAATCCAATCTAGAAGACAAAGGAACTCCTGGATTAAGTATAGGGAGAAATTTGCTTTCGTGGAGGACTTTTTGATGAAACTCACCAGCATTCGCGATACATGGAGAGGAAAACCACGAAAACATCTCGCGGTTAGCTGGACGGCAAGGGGATTCTAACCCCTGATCCGTCTACCACTCAGAATATTTTACGTCAGCACTGTGGTTTGTGAAAACCGGTTGCGAAATTCGAATCGACCAGTCATCACTGGAATTCGAACCCTGTTCACCTCATTGGAATGCGAGCGCTCTATCCCCTGAGCCCCCACGGCTCCCCATAACAAGCTTTATGCAAATCTAATATATCCATATATAATTAAAATGATAAATACAAAATTATTATACGTTATTAGAAATTAACTTTTCACTGTCGAAAAGTGAGTAGGGGACTGAGCTCTTAAGTTTTAAGTTGTGTTCAAAGTGTTGTGTAAAAATATCCATTCTTAAGATCTTAGCCAGTTTTAGTAAAATAAGTCTACTCAAATTACACAAAATGTTTGAAACACATAACATAGAAATTTTTTTTTCTTTGTTCAGGCATTTTACATTCTTCTAAGCATAATGAAATACACAAAGTTATGAAGAAAAAAAGATTAGTTTTTGATCTTTATCAAAATAATAATTTTGAGCAAGAAATTTTAATTCATAATCGGAATCAGTACATGCAATATTATAAGTTATAATTTTTCCTTTTTATGAAAATTAAAACAGGAAAATAAGCAAAATTATAGATTAATAAATATTTTATTAAAACCTTTTAACTCAGCTAATTTCTCAAGAAGGTGTAAGTAAGCGAACTCATTTCTTATAAATCTTTTCTGAATTCTAAACAAACCAGGAATGTTCAAAATAAATCACACATTTTATTGAAATCTTGAAATTAAAGCATTTTTTTTTTAAATTTTACGTATAATTAAAATATTTTATATTTACTAGTGCACTTTTACACATTAAGGGATTCCTTTATTATACAATATTATACAATTGGGTACTTCACTTCAAGAAGAAGAAGACCTCCCATACCCACACATGTGACCAATGACGTCAGTGCTGGATTTACACCGTTGTGTCTCGCGCACACTGTTCTAGTGATATATTTTTTCTGTATACTTAATGGGATATGAAATATCACACTTCATTTTTAATATAATAAAAAGTATTTACGATGAACCAAGATATGTAAACAAATTAAAGACAAATATACAAGACCTGACAATAGAGCGCTGATGATTTTTAAAACTAAAATGCTAAAAGCAGAAAATAAGTAATTAATCCAAATATAAATGCCCGACCACTCTTTTTAGGTACTTTTACATCAGTGGTAATAGGTACAGAGTTACTTTTACATCAGTGCAAAGGTACTACTTACATCAGTGTTAAATGTTACTTTTTTCAGAATCCGTAATGGGTTTCAAGGCAAAAATGTGGTCATAATAAAGTTTAATACTTAACTTAAAATGTCGCCATTTATTCAGTAACGAAACATAACATAGTAACATAACTGCTCAAAATTTTTAAGCATAATATCAATTCGAAATAAAATCACTTTTTCCCTCACGAATTAAAGTATTAAAATCAATTCCATACAATTTTGAAACAGATATATTTTCGGCAATGCTTTGTTCTGTAGCACTTTTAACAAAATATTGACCTTGATTTTGTTGAAAAACACTCCAATTAAGCATAATTCCTTATAAATAAACACTTTTATTGATTAAGAGTTCGCTTATCAAGTGAAAGTAATTTTTTGATCGGTGACACCTGTTCATCTGAACGTCACATTGAATTGTTTAACTGCTTATCTTTAAATGGAACACAAAACGTAAAATTAAATGTCACCTAAATTACTCAGTTAATTCGGAGACAATTTTTAATTTTGGTGAATTTTTTAATGACGTTATATTACTATAAATTAACAGAAGAGATCACAGCTTAACATATCTGGTAGTATACTTTTAAATGGATACTATGATACATTATATGTGCTATGTATAGTGAAGAGACTGGCGCATCAACCCGAGAACTGAAAAAAGTTTTCGGGCGTGCTCAGATTCATGATAAAATTTTCATAAACTTTTTTTACTTCTTTGAAACAAACATTTGGTTCAGTCATTGAGTGTAAAAAAAATTTAAAATGGTGTAGAAATTTACAGCGACTTCTGTTCGGTGTTTTTGATTCGTAAGACGCTGTAAAAAAGGGAACTTTTTTTCATTACTGCTAATTGTAACTGGAGCAATATCAGTGGTTACTGGGGGTAGATTGTCCGAATTGTCATCATCTGGGCCTAGAGCCGTGGTAACACAGCTCGTTTTCCAATGAGGCGAGCCAGATTTAAATCCCAGCGGCGGCTGGTTTATGAAAATTCTGTATCCCGCTCACACCGACCGCAGTGCTGGTGTTAAATATCCTCAGATCATGGGTAGGAGTTCCCTTGCCGTCAGGCTAACCGTGGGAGGGTTTCGTGGTTTTTCACTCCATGTAACGCAACTACAGGTTATCTTCATCAAAAAGTCTTCCACGAAAGCAAATTTCCCCTAATACTTGATATAAGAGATCCCTTGCCATCTGGATTGCTTTCAAAATTACAAGGCTATGAAGTTGAAAATTAGAAGTTGCAAACGCAAAATTAGGTCGGCTATTTAAAGACGATTATAAAATAAAATAAAACTTCTGGGCTTTCCAATTTTGATTTTTGAGAGAAAATCATTGAAGGAAAATTTTGTTTGACTCTGAAATTTTGTAGAATATACAAACAGCCTGTTTGACCAGATTTTTAAATCATGATTAGAGAACTCATCAGGCGACGTTCCTCGGAAAATTTTACGATTCGAGAATATCCATATATCTATGTAAAAATTTAATTTTGCATATGCAACAAATATATCTTTTTAATGGTAACTAATAGGTGCAGAGAATCATCTTCGAACTTAATTTCCTAACTAAGTCGTTTTGACATATGATATTCTGCATTTGTTTAACATATGTAAAAGGAATAAGAATATGATAGTTGAAATTTGTTCATATTTTCAGATGAGTATGGAGTGTGCATTTCTCTGTAAGATAAAAGTATCTCTTTTTTTTTAAACATGCGCATTTCCGATTTTTCATTATTTCTGGACGCTTAAAAAAAAGATGTGATGTTCTCGGAGGAAATCGAAGACGTTTAAGAAAAAGGTCATATGTGAAGGATATATGTTAAGATCTTATGTTAAGATCATATGTTAAGGTCTTAAGTTAAGGTTATAGATTAAGATCTTATGTTAAGATCATATGTTAAGGACATATGGAAAGGTAAATGCTAAGGTCATATGTTACGGACATATGTAATTCATTTTTCATGAATAAGGATCTCCATGAAATATCCACATCAATTTTTAATGGAAGAACATCTGATCTCCTGAGGCTCGAACACATATTTTTAGATGTGATAGTTCGTATCCTGTGAAACACATGAATTGAATGGGTGAAGGGGAACATCTCGAAGAAGATGGATAGACTGCGTAGAGACAGAGGCATTCATAAACCAATCATTGTCGGATAAATAGTTCGAGTAGAGCCAGATCGGATCCGTTAAGGAAAGCTTAGTGACACGACTTTGACCTTTAGTAAGCTGTAGTGCAATTGAAGAAAAAGAGTAGGTTTACTATAAATAGAATAGAGGTGATAGAATAGTGGCAGAGTTAGCTGTAGAAAAATTAGCAGAGAGAGTTTAATTTTGTTCACACTTAAAATCATGCCTGTCTGGTTATTCGCTATCGCAATGCTTGATTACGGCATCTGGGGAGAAGACCAGTTCCATGTCTTGACCCACCCCATGGTAAGAGGTGATTTTGTTTTCCATTAGGCGCCATCTATTGCCAAGAATTTGACTTTCTGTCACACCTATATGTCACACCCGCTTATTGGCCAGACCCACTCATACTTCCATTCATCCCCAGATCGTAATTTTTATCTGAACCAGAGAACGATCCATCTCCTATTCAGTACCCCAGAGGTATAAATTGTTATGGAAACATGGAGGACTTTGTGACCGGACAGATTTAACGTGAATCAGTCACCATTTACTTCATGGGGAGTCTTAGACCAACTGGATTCGAACTATCCTTCTCACGAACGTTTGTCCAGCGCCCTGCCAATCAGACTATCCCGGACATCCTCTTTTAAGCTGTTTAGGAATATACTACGATATATTTCCCTTCCTTAACATTTTCCGTATTTAAATGTGAAAAAGCATTTTTTTAAAACATCCTCGATGCTTTCTTTTGGAACTATGTTAAATTTTTCAGTTCCATATAGTTGCCTAACTTAAAAGTTTTTAATCTATTTGAAAACCACGAGAGAAACTTACGTACTTCCTTCTCCTATGACTCTCCACACGCTAATGGTGAAAGCATGCGAAGTGTTGCCAGAGGTAGAGAATCGCCACCAGTAGCCCACCTCGATCGTCAATAAAAAATCGTCTCGTACCACCTCGATCGTCTATCGCTATCATACCTAGGTGAGTGCGCTCCAAGACGAGAATTTTACGAGACAACAAGGCTTCACGAGAACTATCCAGACATCTCTTCTTGACGCAATTATCCTCTAATTTATTTTATTTTATTCTATTATGTATTAAAGTAAATCGTATGCAATAATAGTCGAAATAACTTTAAATCGTTTTGAAGCCAAGAATAAAGATTGAATAACATTAATTTTCGTAGCCATATAAATGAAAAATGTTCCAAAAACAGTCTGGAGTGTTGTTAGCAATGTATGGAGGGTTGACCGTATAAAGCTAAGAACAGATGGTCTTACGGGTTAAAATTCGTCGTAAGACTTCGGAGTTACTACTTTTTTTAGCCTGAAGTTGAAAAATGGTGCCATCAAATGTTATTATACTTGTAGTAATAGTCGAAATTTGTTCCAACTGTTCTTCAGACCAGGTTTCGCCTCACCACATCCTCGCGTGCCTGGGGCTCACCAAACAGGATTTAGCAGATGATCCATTGACGGTGTTGGATTTTTTGACGGTGTATAACGTCGTGAACCTGGTCTAGCACTGCTGGCCAATGGAGGCATGCAACAACAACAATAACAACAATACTTGTAGTGTTTACAATATAGCGCTTTTTGTACACTTAAATTTCATTGAAACAAACATAAGAATTTGGAAGACTCCGAAAGTATGCTATGCCCTGCAAGATGCAACCCAAAAAATAACAAACGGTGATATTTTACACAAATATAGAACCAAATAAGGGATAATACTCAAAACATGGCAAATCTTACACTTTATTTACGTTGTGATATTCATTTTCTGAAATTTATTTTAGGCTCACAGCCAGTTAGAATTTGTAAATTACACGAAACTCCCATGGATGATGAAATGATGTGCAAATTTAAACACAAATCACATTAATAAAACTTCCTAGAATCTTAAGCCTGTTCACACATCGCCTCGTAAGCATAGCATAAGAGGAGGGATACACCCGAAGTTTTCTAAATTTCTTCCTGTTTTATCAAGCTTTATTAGTGTTTACATTCATTCAACCATCCATTGGATGTAGCAATTGTATTATAAGAGATACTGTAAGAGAGCCTTTGGTTTAAACAGTTTGCGCTGAATGTCCTCGTTTAAGAAGAGTTCTTCTTTTCCCGAAAAGATTAGAAAAAAGAATATTTATTATAATTTCAGGTGCAAAGGTTTGCATGGACGATCTTGGCTGTTTCGAGATTACGAAAGATTTCTTCCACCTCTTGTACCGTCCAATCAACATGTTGCCCAATGACAGGGCAACCGTAGGTACGGAGTTCCACCTCTACACCAAAAAGCATCCCATGGAGTTCAATCTGGTGAAGTTCAACGACAAGGCGAGCATGAAGGAGCTGGACATCACACATAGGACGGTATTCATTATTCACGGATTCATCGACAGCAAGTACTATGGAAAGTGGATGGAAGTGAGTTCATTTCTTTCATGCATTCTCAATATTCCATGCTTATTATTCCATAAATTCCGAAACGTGCTCATTATTCCATTTCATATATTCTGAAGCTTGTTCATCATTCCATGTACTTTGAGACTTTCTCCTTATTCCATATATATTGCGGAACTCGATTATTATTATATACGTTCAGAAATTCTTTCATTCTTCCATATATTTTGAAATTTTCTCTTATCTCTGCACATTTTGAAAGTTGTTTGCCATTCCAAATCCTCCGAAACTTGCTAATTAATTCATATATTCTGGAGCTTTTTCTTCAGTTCATGCATTCCGAAACTTTCTTTTTATTCCATATATATTTCGAAACTTGCTTTTTATTCCATGCATTCAAAAACTGACTCATTATTCCGTATATTTCAAAATTTGCTCGTTATTTTTTTATTTATTTTGTTGAACAATCTTGCTCGCTATTACTTTTTATAGTAAGCAAATTTGCTCATTACTTCAGTTAATCCGAAACTGCCTCGTTGTTTTATATATTCTGGAGCTTGCTCATCATTCCATGCATTCCAAAACTTTATCTTTATTCCATATATATTTCGAATTGTTTTTAAAATCTTTTAATAAATTCAGAAACTTACTCATTATTCCATATATTTCGAAACTTGCTCATTGTCCTATTTATTTCACAAACTTGCTCATTATTTCAAACATTCCGAAATTATCTTAAATTACTTCTCATTTCAAAACTTACTCGTTGTTCAACATGCTTTGAAACTTGCTTATTATTTCAAATATTCTGGAGCTTGCTCATCATTCCGTGTTTTCTGAAGCTTTCTTATTATTCTATACATATTTCGGAATTTGGTTATTATTCTTAAGTTCAAAAACTTGCTCTTTATTCTATATATTTCGAAATTTTTTAATTATTCCATAAGAATAGAAAATTTCTCATTATTTCATATTTTTTGAAACTCGCTCATTATTCCATTATTCCCCAATTTGCTCATCACTTCATACATTTAGAAACTTGCCCATTATTTCGCATGCTCTGAAACTTGTTCACTATTCTATGAATTCCAAAACTTGCTCATTATTCTTTATATTATGAAACTTGCTCGTTATTTCGTATATTCCGATACTTCCTTATTAATCCAAATATTCTGAAAATTGTTAATTATTTTATTGATTTCGGTTTCGGATTATTTTATTGATTTTATTGCTCATCGTTCCATAGGTTCCGCAATATTCCAATAATGCCATATATTCCTAAACTAGCTCATTATTCTATGTATTTCGGAATTAGCGAAAACTGAGAGTTGGAGACTGCTAAACATTTAAGTGTTTGGTTGGATTTGGCCTGTAGAAGGATGAATGGTTTCAATCATAGAATAAAATGATGTGAATTTGTAAAAGAAGTGCCCCGCTTATTGTGTTTAGTTTTTAATAGTTTTCAAAACTCCCTGTGACGTCAACGAATCCTTTTTTTTTTTAGATCTTCTAAAAAAATCTTTTTTGTTAAAATCTTCTGAAATTTTTAAACAAATTTATTGAAAAAACATTTTTAATGACTTTTAATGATGTTAAAAATCAATGTTATAATGTTACGATAGCTTTTCGTTATCTTTACAGTGCGCAAAATTAAAAATGGATCGCCCTGAATAACTTTTAATCTAATGATCGAATCTACGCGTTCTTGAATTTAATCTTAATGGTTTGAGGAGGTAACTTCAAATATGCTAATTAATGAATGCCCTCGATATTTTAAATTACAAATTCAGACACAAAAACGTACTTTCTCTGAATAAACATACCGTTTTTTACGGCGGATTCGGATTTCTGATTCCCGGAATTTAAGGAATAGCAGAACTTGGGAAATATGGTCTCAATAGTTAAGTCAGGAGAGAGGTCCAAAGTTCGGGCCTCTCACGGTTAATTTTACGTTTTTCGTATTTCACCATATCTCGAGAACTTTTTAAGCTAATAGAAATATTTTTTACACACAATAATAAAATTCGCTTATCCAAGCTAATTACGCGCAAAAAATAACTTTTAATAATTATTTATTATTATTTAATTTAATAAAAGAAAGAAAATTTTTGCAGCTTTAAATGACAAAATACAAAAATTGAGCCTAATCGGTCGAATAGTTCCAGAGAAATTGAATTTTAAATATACGATTTTTTTCAATACCGAAATCATCTGCAGTGCGTGTTTCCTCCGCAAAATAATAATGAGTTGAATAAATTTTTCACTCGCATTATAATCAAGTTCATTAATTATTGTTTTTCATTGCAGTCCTTGAAAGACCACATTCTGCTTTCGAATGACTTCAACGTCATCATCGTTGATTGGAGTAAAGGAAACACTCTACCTTACACCAAGGCAACAGCCAACTGCAGAGTTGTGGGTGCCGAGATTGCTCTGCTCATCGAAAATCTAATTGTAAGCTCTCTCTTCTAACGTTATAAGAGACCGGTTAAAAAATCCTAATCGAAAAGAGATCTATCTTGATTTATTCATTTCAATATATTACGGTTTATATATCAGTGGGAATAGTGCAGTTGCAATTAAGTAATTATTATTTCCAAAGCTGAATGCCGGTTGCAGAAACCCATCGTCCCGGCAATTAGCGCTGCAGAACGTTACAGCGTCAGCAGATTATTACAGCACCTGCTGTATGTTATAGCATCTGCTGATATTTGCTACATCAGTAGATTATTACCGCATCTTCAGATTATTACAGCACCTGCAGGATGTTATAGCATCTGCTGATATTTGCTACATCAGTAGATTATTACCGCATCTTCAGATTATTACAGCACCTGCAGGATGTTATAGCATCTGCTGATATTTGCTACATCAGTAGATTATTACCGCATCTTCAGATTATTACAGCACCTGCAGAGCATCTGCTGATATTTGCTACATCAGTAGATTATTACCGCATCTTCAGATTATTACAGCACCTGCAGAATGTTATAGCATCTGCCGAGATTCATAAAAATTTTCCTTTCAATTTTAAACAGCAAACAAATGGGGTAAAATTGCTGATAAGACATTTCTAATCTATTCTGTAATAGAAAGGAAAAATTTGAATTGAGAGAACACCTCGAAGAACAAAAAGTAAACATTTTTCTTCATTTTGTTGTTGCTTGATTAAAAGCTTAACTGCTGCATATAGGGAGAGGGATTTATTTCATTTTTTATTATCATATTATATAAAATTCATTTCAAACAGCAAAATTTCCAGGTATAATTTTTTAGGACCTTATATTTGAAAATTTTAATACATGTAGGTTATATTAAACTGAAATTTATACAACAATAATATTTGTCTGGCAAATTCGGTTTGATGAAGATAGCGTATCAGATACACTCCATAAATTAACTACTTGCTCAACCATTAATTACAATAGCTTGGCGATAATACGGTAATACAGTGGATGGCTAAATCTATTGATCGTTATTATATACGCATTGAGTGTTACACTGTCTTTATAATTAAGCAAACTATACAATCTATTACTGTACATTATCTTTTTTAAAAATTATACTCAGATAAATAAAAAATAATTATTTTTTTGGAAACAAAAATGAAACATCACGGAGGGGGACAAATTTGAAGCGTACTATTTATAGGCATCATTTTGGAACCGGACAGTGGCAAGCGATAAGCTGAAAAATGTACACTACAATGACATTTAACTATAAAAAAACATCAGTGTATTGTTGGACATACCGGGAGAGGTTAACCCGGAAAGGACTCCGACACCCGAGTCTTGCTAATATCCCGAATTATCCAATTATTGATAATAAAAATGGTTATAGATGATAATCTTGTACTGATGTTTCATCTATAGCATATTCTCAAGCTATTTGTAAAAAAAAAGAACCAAATTAAAAAAAAATATTTCGAAAAGGTGAAAGGAAAGATAAATATATTAAAAACTAATTAATAGCTATGTAGATACTAATTGATAAGATTAATGTCTTAAATAAACATACATACTTCAGCTTCAGATTTTTCCCTGTTTTAGGGTTTAACATCAACTGTAATAAAAACATCTTTTCCATTTAACTCTCTTTAATGAGTGAATACTCTTTCTTTTGAAAATAAGAACTAATAGGAAGAAATCAATTTTGATGACAAGATGTGACAAAACTATTCTGAGATTAATATGATACTATCTCATAGTTGACAGGCTCTTTCGATTTTTTTAATACAAGAATATTTACATTTACATTTGTAGAGAACTTGTACTTGTATTTACATTTGTAGTGAAACTGATGGTTTCATATTTCTTTCTCGGTCTGATAAATTTGATTCAAAATGATTTCAACCACCATTATATCCATTTAGTTTAAGCATATATTCAGTCAAACTCGCTTGCAACGTGAAACCAAATTTGAGGAAGAAACCGAAAATACTGGGTTAGTACAATGTTAAGTACAGTGCACTACAAGTTGTGAAATTACAACTTTTTGTTGTAGTTAGCATACCTGCCAACTTTCACACTTTCCGAGAATGGATTTTCAGAATGGTTGTAAAACAATAAACGAAAAACAATCTGACTCAAAAATATATTTATATTTTGATCCCGTTGAAATTCGCTTGCGCAAGGATTATTATGCTTTCATATATTTATTGTAATTATTTATATGTAGTGGTGGTCAAACTCATTTATAATTATCATTATAATTCAAAAAGTTAATTGGAATAACCTGAGTTCTGCTACCACTTTAAATATGAAAATAAAACCTTCCGGAAAAGTTGGCAGGTATGAGTTAGCAGTGAAACACTTTTTTAAAGAAAAGAATGTAGTGAATTCAGTGCCGGATTATACCTTTCGTAAGCCCTAGGCACAGCCGTTTATGGGCCCTCCCCTCCTTCTCCCACTCCTCCCTTCTTTTCAAAATATATGCTAAAATTTTCTTCGTATGGAAACGTATTACGCCATTTTAGATGTATTAATTTCAGAAATGACAAAAGGCATAAAGCTTACAGTGATTTGTACGATAATTTCGGTTTTCTTGTTCACAAAAATTTGTCAGAGTCTGAGATTAAACTAAAAGCGCAAAATTTGATGAAAATTTACTCATCCGATTTAGAGGAAAACTTTGTAGATGAATTTTTACTATTTTCAAATTTGTATGAACATAAATCTGCACAAGAAATGCTGAAGGCTCAAATTAAAGATACACTTGTGAATACTTTTCCTAACGTTCACATTGCATTAAGAATATATTTGTCGATTCTTGGATCAAATGCAGAAGGAGAAAGATCTTTCTCCAGATTAAAATTGAATCAAAAAATCGCAAAAAAGTAATATATTAGATCATAAGATTCTGCAAAATAATTTATTACCGTAAAATATTATATTTTTATTTGTATCTTCATAATTTTGTGCAAAATACCCTCTAAACTATTTTTGTCAACAAATTTTTTTCTCCCAAGTTTTTCGTAGGCCCCTGAATTTCGTAGGCCCTAGGCACGTGCCTAGTGTGCCTATAGGTTAATCCGGCCCTGAGTGAATTGTACGATACAAAAAGCAGTAGTTTATAGCGCCTTCTGACAAATACTTTTAATGTTAGTTCAGAAATGAAACCAGTTCAAGCGCAACTAATTGGGTTGGTACAAATTTTTGTGGGTCTGTCAATGGATTTAATGAAAATGACCCCCCTATGGCAGCAGCTGAGTGTTAACGGAAATTGTTTATCTAGAATCACGTGTGACTAATATTTAAACGAAAAATAGATAAATAATAACTTTGGTCACACTTTTACATGCGAATGCACACTCGTGAAACATTGATGTTATTTGAACGTATTTTCGATGCATTTAATTTCTTAGAGGAAATAAAAGAGCATAAAACAATTAAAAAATTGCATTAAAGTTTCGCATTTCTTAAATTAAATGTTCGCTGCTGAAAAAGGCACAAAAAGTTAAATGAGCAAATTCGAAAAAAATATTTCAGAATGACAAACTGGCTCATGCAAACATGAATAAACATTTCTTAATGACTCCCTTATATGTAATGTAAGTCAATTTTTTTAAAATTCAAAACCATTTTTAGCGCAGGTGTAAATTAAGTTCTCCTTAAGTTTTAAAATAATTCCTTTTAGACATTCTTTGGATCGTCTGATTCCTCATGGCCATTCCAACATTTCATGGGGCCATGAGTCGAATCCGCAAAACAAAAGCACAACAAAGAGGCAGTTTAAAACAAATCGAAAAAATTCTTAAGATTTAACTGCAAAACCCGTGACTTGTATTTACTCATTTTTATCTGCAGTATAAAAATAAATTTGTGGAGCCCAATTAACGGTGTCAGGTCCCTCACCATGCCATATTAATTCCACTACTTATTCCCATATTTAGGACTAGAGATGTTCCCTACTAAGCCTACATTACCCGGACCCAGAGCCCGGGATAGAGGGTTCGCCTTTCAAGGAGGTGAACCGTGTCAAAATTGGGTCGACGGTTATGAATAACCCGGACTCCACCCCCCCCCCCCAAAAAAAAAANCACCCCCCCCCCCCCAAAAAAAAACTTTAATACCGGTAGATATCTTACAGCTATGTAGGATTTACATGCGCTGTTTTAAGGGACTACTGACCGTAAAGACCAACATCTGAAGGGAATCAATTAAAAATTCTTGATAAATAGCATTTAAAAATATGACTGCTTTGAAATTTTAACACCTTAAAACTATTGAAACAATTTTGTTCAAATTTAAAAACAACGTAGTTTAAAATTATTAAAACAAATTTCCATTGCAAAGCAAACAATTTTTTAAATACGAAGTTCAAAAGGAATCGATCGAATAGTTTTTGTAAAATAAAATTTCAAAATATGACTGCTTTGAAATTTGAGCACCTTGAAATTAGGAATGTACCGGGTACCTGGTATTTACCCGGTATCCAGCCATTTGTATACCCGGAAAAATAATTTATTACCGGCTATCTAGACACGACAAGTTTTACCGGGTGTCCAGTGCAGGATAATACCATTGCCATATTCAGAATTATAGTAACCTCAATATTATAGATATATACAGTTTTGAAAATCCATGTTTTTCAACAGTTTCCTAATTATCAAATTGATCTAACATTTCAGGCACGGTATATTTTACTTCCATGCAGAATTTCGGAAAATAGACACCTTCGCCAGAGAGAAATTCGTTTGCTAAAGAAAAGTACCCGCTTTGGAGAAGGATTCAGAAATCTAATTCCAAAAACCATTTTAACTAAATTAATGTTCTTGTTGTTGTAAGCTATTAAGGCAAGGAGCGCGGTTATTCTAATTTTCCAGTAACGTCATCTATTGCCAAGAATTCGACTTCTGCCACACCCATACGTCACACCCGTTTATAGAATGGACCCATTTATACTATTTATTCATCCAAAAATCGTATTTTTGATCTGAATGAGAGAACGATCCATCTCCAATTCAGTACCCCCAGAGGTATTGATTTGTTATCAGAACATGGAGCCCTTTATGATCCGATAGATTTTACGTGAACCAGTCACCATTTACTACACAGGGAATCTTCGGCCAAGAACGTGAGTCCAGTGCTCTGTAAACCCTGTCAACTAAATTAATATGATAGTTTAATAAGTTCAAAATAAAAATAAGGATTTACATTCAGATTTTTTTTAAAGTTAATAAAATCTTAACGATATATTGAGTTCGTTATTGTATATTGAGTTAACTTAGATAAATGGTCAGCACAGTCAGGTGATCAACTTAGACAGGTAGTCAACTCACAAGTCAACTTGACAGCTATATTAGAATTTTTAAGTGGGTATTTTAAAATTCCTTGAAAAATGTCGTGCAATTTAATGAAAAGAGTGTTGTTTTTTTCCCTTCAGAAATACATGAATGTTGATCCGATGAAGGTTCATCTTGTGGGTCACAGTCTCGGTGCACACATCGCTGGATATGCTGGAGAGAGACTCAAGAAACTGGGCAGAATCACTGGTAACACTTAAATACTACAATTTATGTCTTCCAATGAGGTGAACCGGGTTCGAATCTCAGCGATGGCTGGCCGATACGAATTCCGCATGCGACTTGCACCGACCACAGTGCTGACGTAAAATATCCTCAGAGGTAGACGGATCACTGGTTTGAGTCTCCTTTCCGCCAGGCTAAGCATGGAAGGTTTTCGTGGTTTTCCTCTCCATGTAACTCAAATTCGGGTCAGTTCCATCAAAAAGTCCACCACGAAAGGAAATTTCTTCCAATTCTTGATCCAGGAGTTCCCTTGTCTTCTGGATTGGGTTCAAAATTACAAGGCTACGGAGTTGAACAGTAGTAGTAGTCGTAAACCCATAAAATTGGGTCGGCTGTTCAACGACGGTTATAAAGTATAAAATAAAATATATGAAGGGTTAAGTAACGATTGCTTTTAATCGTTTCCCTTTCCTTTTTTTCTGAAAAAAGCGTTTCTTTTATTGTATTATCAACCCGTTTAGGACGTTACAATTATTTTTTATGCGTGCTAAAGAGTAGGTACTTTATTTACGTCGCACTAAAGCTCCATAATGGGCAATTGGCGACGGTCTGAGAAACATCCCCGAGGATGCTCCGAAGACATGCCATCGCAATTTTGATCCTCTGCGGAAGGAATGGCTCCCATGCTTTGCTAGCTCGACAACCTGTGCGTGAAGTCGAGCACTTTACGGTAGAAAAGTTTAACGAGGACCTATACCACACACCCTCGGTCCCTACGCAGATTGATCAAAGTGATCGCTTAGTGAGAGCAGTCAGTGATGCTTGACTTCGGTTTTCTATTGGGAACCGTTTCTTTACGATCAGTCCACTGTGGGACCTTTCTGAAGAGTAAGTAAAGGGTTTAATCACAATTTAGCTTTACGAATCAAGCTAGTCCCCTTTAATATAGCCAGACATATTTCCGAACAACGTAAAAATATATTTTGGTAGATGGTAAAAACATTTTATTTCTTTCATCTTTGTCTATGATTTTGTCTCGAATTTTTTCCAGGATGAAAACGCAACCAATGTAGTTTGATTTTTATTCTTAGCAATCAGGGCCGGATTTAAGCTTGGCGGGGCCCTAAGCTACTGAAAATGATGGGGCCCTTTTAAGTTCAATTCTATTTCTATACACCTAAAGTAAACTGTCGTATTTTTTATTGCTGAATATTAACATTATATTATTAAAAATTTGATAATATTGCTTGATTGCTAAATATATTGGTTGTGATGGGACTATAATGTAGAGCCTTTCTATTATTGCACATATTTTTTGAACGAGGAAGAAAACAGAAACTCATTTTAAGAACATCATAAGCACATTTTAAGCACCGAGTAAAGATTTGGCATGTTAGAAGAACCATTATATGTTTAACAGAGTTTTTTTTTCNCAAAAGAGCCCACAGCAATTTAAAGAAGCTGAAAACATTTCCCACAGTGTAAAATTGAGGCAGCTATTTGACTACTCCATGGAGTCTAGAGTACTGCTTTTTAGGATCCATGGACTACTCCCATCACTGGTAGCTACGAAAGCTACAGGATATTTTCATCAGTCAAAAGGCCTTTTTATTGCTCTTTTGGTTAGAAAAGTGAAGAGTAACAATTATTTTATATTTGTAAACACTTCTATTAGATTTTGAAAAGCGTTCGCCAATGTAAAAGAGAAAAGAAATGTATTTTAGTCTTCAGAAGGCTCCAGCTCCGAATAAAACTTTAAAAAAAGACGGAAAAAGTTGGATCTGGGGGCCCTTGCCATATCGCGGCCCCAAGCTACAGCTTATTTAGCTTATACGTAAATCCGGCCCTGTTAGCAATAATAATATTTTTTAGCACTTTCTTTATCACATACCTTCCATAATTTGAGATTTGTGCTAGGACTGAAACAGAAAGGAAATTGGAAATTAAAGAGAGCTTTTTTAAAGCTTTTATCAGACACAGCGATGCCAACCTGCTCCGGATAAATATTTTCGAGTCTTTTAGTACATGATTCTTGGTTTAGTAAATTCGATTAACAGGATTGTTACTCACCACTATTTCTAAATATTTAAAGGCTTATGTGATAAAGCCATTTTGTTACAGCCGTGTTAAACATTTTCACAGATCCGGATTCGACAAAATATTTCAAAGAACGGTTAGAGAACTAAAATGGTCAGATTTTCAGTTAATTGTGTAAGTTTATAAAGGCTCATCATGGCTTAACGGCATACCCTCCAACTTATGAGGATTTTGAAAATAATTCTTTCTAGTGGTAGCGAACCAAAGTAGAAATTTTTAAAGCAAATGGATCTCTCATAAAACTTTTATCAGAACTTAAGAATCTAGCCATATGGCCTGCACTTTTATAAGTAATAGTGGACAAGTTACGCTAAAATTAATTTTTTTTTAAATATTAAGACATTAATTTTGCTACCGTCAGAAAAGAAGATTTCTGAAACTACGGAAATTGGAGGGTATGCTTAACGGTAACAAAGGAGTGTATCCTATAAGCGTTTGAATTATTTAGACTACGACTCGGAAAATATTTGTCCGCTGTTCGAAGCAAGTTGGCATCTCTGCAGATATTACGAACGTCATTTTGATCATTAGTTTGAAATATTTAAACAACTGGCCCCGCTTTGCAAAAAAAGTACTTTCTAGTGGTAACTAAGTTTAAGTTATCTTTTGTTTAGTATTTTTCCTTTTAAGCAATTTTTCCACCACCACTTATCAAAAATTCAAATGAAATGCAACTCTATTACTATAATCTCGTGATTATTATTTTAAAGAGTATGCTTGATTATCCATATTCCACAAGATTACTATATAATTTGCTACCAATTTATTGAAACTATTGCATAAAGGGGAGCAGTAGGCATCCCGGTTTAAATGTAGTGGTGGATAAAATTATCTTAGTTATAATTTAATACAACATTACCTTTGCTACCACTAGGAAAAAAGTTTTCTGTAAATTCCTCATAGGTATGATTTCCAGTTCTTCCTTCTCACTCCCGTGATATTGACGGGCTGGAGTGCTCAGTAGTAACGCGCCAATAAGAATAAAACTAATTCATTTCTATTGCCCGGAAAACATTTTATTTCTCATTTTACACACCAGATAGCAGTACCAGGTTATTTTTTAAGGTAATTGTAGATAGTTAGCTTATTTTAAACTAGATTTCAGCACTAATCAAATACGTAATACAAATACAAAAGCCTAAAAAGTAGGCACTTTTATGACCGTTTTCTTGAAAATTAACCGATCGTTAAGGGTTAATGTTACATAAATTTTATCAACATATGTCATCAATTGGAACGAATGCAATTTAACTTCCGTTTTAATGTTTCAGGTTTAGATCCTGCAGCACCCTATTTTCAGTATATGCCGCCCTCTGTGAGACTCGACCCAACCGATGCAGATTTCGTTGATATTATTCATACAGATTCTTCATCTATCATGCTTTTGGGTAAATCAACACTTTTACATTATTCATTGTTTAAGATGACTTAGATGCTGATTCCATTCACAAATTTGCAAATATCATGCATTTGTTGCTCATAAAGATAGGTCTAATACGCTCTTAAGTATAGATCTCATAATTTTGAAAGTATCAAAGAGTTACAATATAAGGCAATTAAAATTGAGACTAAACCTGACGCTATTTATATACATTTTATTTTCTCAATCATGCTTTTAAGTTAATTGCAGTACAAGCATCTAATATATTTAGACTTAAGGAAGAGTGGGGGAGCGGGTTGTGTTATCTAGCGGACTAACTATGAATGACACTTATTTGTAAACAGGAAGAACCAACCCTATTGGAGTGTTGTTGTTGACTAATTCTCGGCGTCTAGTGCTGATAAAGTTGTTTAAATGTGTCAAACATCTGCAGTACAAAAGAAAAACCAACGTAAACGACAAAAAATTCAATATTAAGATTTATATATATTTGGCATCTCTGTATGTTAAACTACATGTCGAGGGAAAAAAAATCATTTTTTTAAAAAATAAATAAATGGATTTCGTTTCATCAGTTTTCTGAAATTCTTTTTTTATTTTAATTTTGTGCACTAGTTAAACAACAATATTTAGGTATGATGTCTTATTCAAATGACGCAATGAAACATTTAATGCATTGGTTCGAAACGGGCTGATACCGCCCCCCCCGGGATAAGGTGAGAGTATGTTGAAGGATCATGAACTGTTTTGGGCGGTAAGGGGGCGATGAGCATGGTTTGCCATTACTTTAAAACTCCAAAATAAAATTATTAAATTAAGAATTATTTAATAAATAAAATTAATATTAAAGAAAAAAAGATTAAATGAATATAATAAATTAAGATTTTTGCGACACTGTGACATCTATTCTCCGATGCGAACCAGCACAGCGCAGCATTGTTTTTGCTTCCGACTCATTTAAGTCATTTGGCTTAAATTGAAGTGCATGTGCTTTCAGTGTGTTTTTCTATCGTCTTACGTATGGTAGTTTTCGTTCGCTTCCTTTAAGTTCTGTCCCCTGTTTCGATTTGATTTCATTGTTTGTTTTGTCAGGTAGGTGAGCGAATTAGTTCTTTATCGTAAATTACTCATTAATTTGGAGAAATAGTTGATTTTCTTTTATTGTTTATATTGTGCGCCCGCCAACAGTGTCGGTTAACAAAAGTAACTGTAGTTAATATAGTGCAACGTACTTGACACTAGGATTTGTTCCCAGATATATTAGCTGTTCACTGAGTGATTTCAGACATCATTTAGATGGAAAAAATCTCAGCGACCATTTGTATCAGTCATTGAAATATGTCCTCTCTGCTGTGAATGAAATTCACACTAACGCTCTTTACGATCGATTATTATGACAGCTGTGTTATAAAAAAGAATGAAGAATTTAATCGCTTGCTACTACACACTAAGATTCGCTGGTTTCCCAATGGAGCCTGTCTCAAAAGGTTTTGGAATCTTTTCGACGCTGTGCTTGAGTTCTTTGAGGACAGGGATGTAGTTCTGAGAGACAGATTGCTAGAATTTAAGATAGACATTGCATACATGACGGATTTATTTGCAAAATTCAATGACATTAATTTACAGCTTCAAGGTGACGAGCTCAGTTTGATCACTACAAAATCAGTTATTTCTGCCTTTCTAAAAAAAAACTCATTTTGTGGAAGCAGAATTTTGGTAGGAATGAGTTCGGCCATTTTTGAATTTTATTGAATCTTGAAAAGAATGGTGAAATTCTCTCAGATGATACACAAGAATATTGTCAACACCTTGAATCTTTGCACATGGGATTTTTTCTGACCGTTTTAAAGATGCTTCGTCCCCGGAAGTCCCTTAATGGGTTATGAACCTTTTTGTGAATATTGAAACAACTAAGGTTCAGATTCGGGAGGAATGGGTCGAACTTTCAGCTAATGAAACTTTGAAAACTGGCTTCCAGAATGGTGCTCATCTCACAGGCTTCGAGGCACCATCAGTCGTCTGCAGCCAGGACAGTGGATTATCATCGAAATATTTTTAATTGTTTTCCCTTAATCCAATCTTGTCTAGCTAGGATTCAGTGCTGCGATGGATCTAGTCACACAAAAAAAGAGAAATCGACTCGAAATCATGTTACGAGGGGACTTCTCACTAAAAATATTGTACCGAACGTTAAGAAACTGGCTCTGAACCATCAATCATCCCTCTGACATAGTTACTCGATTGTTTCGTTGATATTACTTTTTAATGTAAAAAATTATTTGGGGGTGCTTTTTTAATTATCCAATTTAGAATTAAAGGCATAAGTTCTTATACCTCTTTTTATGCATAGGTTTATTAGGTATAGGCTTATGGACTCTTTTTATGCATAGGTTTTTTTGCTGTATTTTTTTTTCATTACCTCATTTATTCAGATTATAACAAATAGACTGCGATTACCAGCCGATAGAAAAGTATCGAGTTAACATGCACATTATTTTTTAAGAAACCAAACAAATTTAATGAGTAAGAAAATTGTTCAAAAATGTTGTCTAATATAGTTCAGCACCCCTTTCCGTCTCTAAGTTCTAAATAACTGGATTTTCACAAAGCGTTGAATTGTTATATATATATATATTTTTTTTTTGCTCTTTAAGGAGGTGGCAATGTTAAAAAGGTTGAAAATCTATGATTTAAAGCATCCCAGTTCCAAATCAGCCCTCGAGCGTCAACACTATGGCACTATAGCCCATTTGGATAAAATAGTCAAGTGGTCATAATAAATTGACTGCTCAGTATATGCCCAATCATTCAATATGAATCCTTATATATTTTATAATATTGACGGGTGATCATAATAGATTGGCTGCTCAGTATATGCGCAATCATTCAATATGAATCCTTATATATCTTATAATGTTGACTGGTGGTCAAAATTGATTGACTGCGTAGTATATGCCCAATCATTCAGTATGAATCCTTATATATTTTATAATATTGACGGGTGGTCATAATAGATCGGCAGCTTAGTATATGCGCAATCATTCAATATGAATCCTTATATACTTTATAATATTGAAGGGTGGTCATAATAGATTGGCTGCTAAGTATATGAGCAATCATTCAATATGAATCCTTATATATTTTATAATGTTGACGGGTGGTCATAATAGATTGGCTGCTTAGTATATGTGCAATAATTCAATATGAATTTTTAAATTTTTCTTAACGTTTCAGCTTTGGGAATGAAACAGGAAGTAGGTCATGTTGATTTCTACCCCAACAACGGAATGAAACAGCCAGGATGTGGAACAGCTGGTATTCATTCTATATTCTTGGAAGGATTGGTAGATGGTAAATTGAGATCTCTACTACGGTAGGCCGAATAAAAATCAAAGTATCTTAAATCTTTCGACTGCGGAGTGAAAAGGTTGCCTACTAATACCATCATTAAGAAGTATGCAAAATCTTTCAACTCCAAATTTATATTTCAGTAGCCAAGATTCATAAGAATTTGGCGACAAAAAGCTTAATTTAAAAAAATCTTAGATATTGTTGATAGGCTTGCGCTAGCTGCTTCTCTACGGGCCAATCAAAAATCCAGTGCCATTAAGGAATCAGAAGATATTGAGTTACCATTCTAAATGTTTGTACACAGGCTCTTATAAAGAACTGATTCGCGGGCAGGTCGTCAAGCTACCGAAGTGGAGGTTCTATTCTCGCTACAAAGGGTCAAAATTGTGATAAAACGTATCTTCGGATCATCCACGGGAATGTTTCCCAAACCGCCGCCAATACCCCATCTCCAGTGCGACGTAAATAAACTACAGCAAGTAAGGAGCCAAAACTATAGATTAAACTATGTATAGAAACTATATATAGATATAACCGAAACTATAGAAGGACATTGAACCGAAACTGGATTGTCTGTCTTCGAACCCTTATTTGTGTTTTATTCACGTTGTATGTGTACTTTGCACAAAGTTACACCCCATGCTTATTTGAGCGAAATCTATGAACTATTTTTAAAAAAACTAATTTTTAGAATTTCAAGCACTTTTGATCAAATTTTCGCAACTTATCTCGCATTCGGTGGGCAGAGGATTTTGCGTACTTTTTAAAAATGGTAGTGGACGACTTTTCATCACGATCACAAAAAGATTGAGAATTTTTCGGCCAATCATCTTATGATTGAGTTCTCCAACAAAAGTTAATTGATATTTCTTTCCTGTGCTGTAGCTTCCAGGCAGTTTATGTCATGTAATCATCAACGAGCAACCGAATACTTTATCTACTCCATCAACCACAGACGTGCCCAGCCTGTCGGGTTTCAGTGTGCCAATTGGTTAGATTTCTTGGCCGGTAAGTGTTCCGACTGCAGTCAGCAGAGATGTGCCATCATGGGAATGTATGCAGAAGAGTACAGACGATTCAAGGATAACAAGAAATCCAAAACGTTTTATGTCACGACTTCCACCAAGAGACCGTACTGGGGTAAAGCTTATTTCATTTCATTTTTAGAACTCCGGTCAGTTCAAGAAAGAAAGGCTCAACGCGAGAATAAATTTTACTTTATTTTATAATTGGTGTTGAACAGCAGACCCAATTCTGAGCTTACGATAATCAATGTTTAACTCAATGATCTTGTAATTTTGAAGCTGACCCAAAAGACAACGTAAACATCTTTTTTTTTTCATTTTAAAACCGTCGTTGAGCAGTCGACCCAATTCTGGGTTCATGACTATCCATGTTAAACTATATAGCCCTGAAATTTTTAACCCAATCCAGGATTTGGATCAAGTATTGTGGGAAATTTGCTTTCGCGGAGGGCTTTTTCATGGAACTCACCCGTGTTTGCGTTACATGGTGATGAAAACTACGAAAATTTCCCACAGTTAGCTTGACGACAGGAAGACTCCAACCCCAAAACACTGGGTTAAGTATTGTATTTTATAACCGTCGTTGAACAGCCGACCCAAATTTGAGTTTACGCGTTATATTGAAAACACTACACGCATAATAATAATTGGATGGCGCATTTTTCCAAGTTTAAGAGTAAAAATCATTCTAAAGTAGCAACCCGTAAGTCCTATGATGAATTTCAACCCGTAACACCATCTACTCTTAGTCAATCATCCATAGGTCTGTCAGATGATTTTGTCCCAGAGGAAGTGCAAGACCTATTTTGCAATGATTCCCTTTGTACATACATAGTAGACATTAACTTTTAAATGTATGCATTAGGTCTACCTGAAATTCAATCTGATAATTCCGTTTTAAGTAGGATGTCTGTATACGTTCTTCGATCCATGTGGGGATATGCAATACCTCCTAGAAAAGCCTCGGCACGGGTTATCATTCACAAGAATCCTTTTCTAGTCCAAACCTAATGGCATCCTTCGTTTTTATCACCACTGCGTAGCTTAATAGCCCGAAAGTAGTGACATCTTTCTTATTATCACCCACTGCGCAGTTTATGTTCGTTACGTCGGATTACTAAATTGATCCCTGCTCAGGCTTTCTTTCTCCTACGGGCTGTTAAGCTGCTTTTCTTAACATTTGNATATATATATATATACGCTTTTCGTCGGTAGAAACGCAGACGTAAAGTTGGAGTAAAAAAAAAAATTCGGTATATTTTTCGAAGGGTGACACTTACGAGATAATCTACAAAATGGGTAATAATGAAAAATGGGTAATCTTTACATAATTTTTTGTTTTTAAATTCAATTTCAACAATATCGCTCTCAATACTTACTATTGTTTGCTTTATGGTTTGCATTTTCAAATATTTTGAGAAATTTTATGCCTTCAAACTGTTTATCAGTTGGGGATACATCCTCCGATAGTTCTTACTCATTGTTTCATCGTTGTCAACGCTATCATCAGGAGCTGACATTGGATCAGATATTGAAAAGTAATAGAATATGCACTGAAGTCGATATACTACTTTGGAAGTTTTTCAGACATTAATTCAAAAGGGCCATTGTTCCTGATGGATATCGAGAAGCTTTATTAAACCCATTTTTAAAGCATTTGAGTCGACACTGTCCAACGCTGTAGAAATCAAATTCGGAGCTTCTAGAACATTTGTTTTTGCATTAGAAGCATCATGCATTTCTTGGGAATCAAGAAAATGAAATGATTTGCCTAACCAATAGTTTAATGTAAGGTTCTTTAAACGATTGGATAATTATAAGATTTAAAGGTTGAAATTAGATGGTAAAAATTCCACTCGCAATTTTAAAATTTAAACTCCCCTACTTCCCTTTCCCTCGCACAGACATAAGAACGTTTAGATAGAATAGAAAGAATTAGAAGAAGAAAAAAAACTATAAACAGTAATAGGTCTTTTCTTTTTTCTTTTTTTTTTAGAAAAAAAAAGGAGAAAAGAAATTTTTTAAAAATTAAGCGAGTTTTGCATGGAAAAAATGATTTTGATGTGTTAAGAAACAGAAAGAAGCGGGATTTTCCTAAAAAGGGTAATGAAAAATCTGGGAAAATTTAACATTACTAGTAAAGTCAATTTTCACGAACCAACCCCGAAAATGACCTAGGAAACGGGATAAAGTACAAAACAGACAACGTAAAAACCCACTGTATTTATAAATCGTTGCTCAAAATCTTTTCAAATCAAATGTTAAGCTAGAAATACCAATTTAAATATTTGGGGGAAAATCTCTGGGTCAATGACCGATACATTTGCTTCAGACACATAATTGGTGTTGTGATGACATCAATTTGTTAACTGAATCACTTTTTTTTCCTTCCCATTTTTAGAATACGTGTTTCACATCACAATAAAACTATTCAAACCAAAAAAAGGAAGCCAGGATAAGAGAGGCACCATTAATATTGAGATTCAGGGAGATCAAAGAAGTTACAACGCCAAATACGAAGCAACGTAAGTAATATTAGTGAAAAACTTTTAACTTTAGAACTCCTTTAAAAGCTATTATCAATATATCCACCAGATATACGAGGCTCGTTTTTTAAGTGAGAGCCGTTTGAAAATAAAAACAAAACGAAAGAAAATTTTCATGAAGCAAATTTATTTTCTGATTCTACCTACGTTTCTCTTTTTTCCAGCATAGTTGCCAAGTTTGCTTAAACACTTTTCATACCTTACAATTAGATTTAGAATACCCTCTTCATACAAACTTGCCGCCTGCTCCGTTATCCGAGAGATCACGACCGTTTCCACGTATTTCGTCATCGTTGTAGTGATTGCTGCCAAAATGATGTTTCAAATATCGGAAAAGATGAAAATCATTCAGCGCAAGGTCTCTGGGCTGTATGGAGGTCAAAAATTTCACAACTAAAAAAGAGTCCAATGAAGCTGGGATTTGAGCTGCGGAGACAGTCATTGTCATAGAGTAGCAAAGCTTGGCAGGTAATTTTACAACTTCACAAATCTGCCAGTGAATGTTTGCAGCTGAGCTGACTAAAAACGCATCAGTGATTGTATTTCGTGCGTGGCAGGCAATTTGTAAAATTCGAACATTTTAACACTAGAAAGACTGAAACTTAGTGTATATGTTACCGTTAAAGTATGAAATCCGTTATTTTATCGAATACCTAGTTATTCCATGAAATAACTGATCGTGTCCGTTAAAGTGTAAAACTCTCTTGTATTTCATGGTTTAACTAGTTATTTCATAGAATAACGATCTGCAGCCCGTTAAAGTGTAAAATAATCTACATCATATATCTGTAGTTGAACAAGTAGTTGGAAAAGTAGTAAAATAAACAGTATTAAATAATCCCATTTCGAAAGTATGTGTTGTCTGTTCAAAAGAATACAGTGAAGATATAGTTTGCTTCAAATGTATGGAGCCTGTCCATATATCATGTTCGGAAGATTATGTTTCAGAAGATGAAGTTGAGCAGAAAATCTGCAAATTGTGTTTTAATGAACTTAATGTTCAAAGAGAAAGAGAAAAGTCTAAAAAATGTTTAGAAATTCAAGCGAAAAAGATGAAATTAATGTCGGATAAATCTCATTCTGAAGCCTCTGTGGGGTTTACCGTCCGTATCCCAGTGCCTGAAGTTGACAGAGGAAAAGGTGATGCCAAATCTATTTTAGCTATCATCATAAAAATAACCGAAGAAGGATTTTTCCAATTGGGCACAAGAAACGGCCGCATAAAACAATTATATTCCCGATCCCAGTTCAGTGTCTGCGAACAAAAATTAATTAAAATCGAAGAAGTACCGGATGTAGAAATATCGCTCCGGTCGGTTGCTACAGCTCAAAGTTTAGGTACTGGTCAGGGATTTAAAAAATGTTCGTGTAAAACCCAGTGTGTCAACAAAAAATGTTTTTGTTTTAGAAATAATGTTCTTTGTAATTCCAAGTGTCATTTTAGTAATCCTTGTTGTAACAAATGATTTTATGGTACGTTTCCATAAATACCATTTATACGCTGCATAAATTAGATAAATTGCTTCTTTTTCATTTTAATTGTCTATCATTAGTTTAGTTATAGAATACCTAGTTATTTCATTTTAGATAAATTGTTTATTTTACACTTTAACTGACTCTCATTAGTTAATTTATAGAATACCTAGTTATTTCATAGAATAACTAGTTAAAGTGGCAAATTAATAACATATTAAACACTTTAACGGACACAATCAGTTATTTCATGGAATAACTAGGTATTCTATGAAATAACTGCATTATATACTTTAACGGTAACATATATACCTATATTGCTCAAAAGTAGTCAAAATGACTGCATTGTGGAAAAATGACTAATGCGTAAAGAAATTTGTTTAATTAATTTTTAATATTTTTTATATTATTTACAGTTATATAACAAGTTAATAGTAAATATTAACAATAAAAAATTGACTTCACTTGGAAAGAAAATATTAATTTATGCATTATAATTTGTACATTTTTTTGCAAATGAAAAAGAGTTAAAAAACAGTCAAAATGGCTTCCTTTAGGCAATCTAGTGTTAAAGACACAGAACTGATTGTACTGTTTATCTACGCAGCTGTAACAGAGCACAGTTGTTTCCAGGGAATGTCGCGACAAGATGTAAGCACTCGTTGTGACGCACGCGTCACTTATTAGTGTACACAACAAAACGACTCTGACTTTTAAAGAAAAACAACCCTCGTATTACATAACGTATTTCAGCAATATGCATTCAATGCAATATGCAGTAATCATTAGTTTAGTAACGATATTTGGTTACACTACTGCCAGAGATGACGTTTGCTGTTTCGTTGGTCCTGGTAAGTCTTGTAGAAGGAATTTTTAAATATCAATACAGTAAAAAAAGGGTTAAGGCTGTTTTTCGAAGTCTCTGTAGTCACGCGAAATGCTTCTTTGCCAATAATGTGCTATTTTCAGAACCGATCTGAATTTGCAACAGTTACTCATGACTGTTAAATCAAACTTATCTTCAGCAAGTGCCCTCCATGTTTGCTTTGAAAATGAAGCAAAACGTCAATATGAAGAAAAGCCACAGTTTTGAGGAAATGAAAAGTGTTTGTGGTCTGATTTTTTTAACATTTAAAAACTTACTTCAAAGCAGCATTATCTAGGCTCAAAAAAATTCGCAAAAAAAAAAAAATCAAAATAAGAGATTAATTTTAATAATTTTCCTGTTGGTGGAAAAATGTCACCAAACTAGCGATTTTTTAAAAAAATTTAATAACTTATAAAATATTTTGTTCGTTCTAAAATCCAAATAATTCTTTACAGAAAGATGACATATACACAATAAAATTATAGCATTGCTTCAAGTGTAAAGCATTGAAACTGTTGTTTTATTTTTATTTCCTTCGTGAAAACCATAAACAAAAGGATCTCAGGATAGAATCTCGTCGGTGAGGTATGTATTCTGGACCAGTTTTAAATGAGTGTTTAAAAATCAGACGCAGCAAATGGAGGCAAAAAAAAATGGACGCAGTGTTTTAAAGTCAGTATTTAAAAAATGGAAAAAATAACCCTCTTCAATATTCAACCCAAATTTAACAACTAAACGAGACATTCCATACTGTGTTTAAACACTAAGCATAATCATTACGGGGATTGTGGTGGCTAATATTACAGAACAAGCATTTCTTAGTATTCAGCACACTAAACGATATCGTGATTTCTTTAATATCTAAATTCAACCATCAATTAAATACGAGTATTATAAATTCATAGGACCCGTGGCAACCTTGTGAAAATAATTGTTGACTTTAAATATCTTTTCAAAAAAGACTAACCTAACAAAAATGTGGATTTAGACTAATGGAAGAATTTTAATTTTATTTTATAACCGTCGTTGAACAGCCGACCCAATTTTATAGGTTTATGACTACTAATATTCAACTGCGCAGCCTTGTAACTTTGAACCCAATCCAGAAGACAACGGAACTCCTGGATCGAGCAGTGGGAGAAATTTGCCTTCGTGGAGGATGGAGCTAACCCGCACTTCCGTTACATGGAGAGGAAGACCAGAGGAGCTCCCACTGTTAGCCTGACGGCAAGGGGACTCTAACCAATGATCCGTCTACCACTGAGGATATTTCACGTCAGCACTGTGGTCGATGCAAGCCGGATGTGGAATTCGAATCGACTGGGATTCGAATCCAGTTCGCAGCAATGTCTGATTGTGAGGTGATATCTATTTGAATGGACGCCTGCATGTCTTGTCACGTGGAATCGTGAATGCTCACGTGTATAGAGATGCCATTCTTGACGCACACTTATGCTGGTGCATAAGGTGATGATTTCGTGCTACAGGACGATAACGCATTGTATATGTTATTTTCTTCATTAGCTATCAATTCAGCGCATGGAATGCACTTCCAACGGAACTAATTGACCTCATGATTAAAAGTATCACACAACGCTGTATGTGCAATATTGTTGAGAGATGTGACCATACTGATGGCATTTTTCTATTCCAAACTGACACAACTGATTTATTCATCTCGTATATAGGTTATTTTTCTAATGTTATTTTATGCATTTTAATGTGCACTTTTAATGTGCGATAGTTTCATTAATTCTACGCGTAACTTTATGAGTTATGATCCTTTTCGTGATTTTTCCTTAATTTATGCTAACCAGCGTATTTTGAGCCGCGATGGCTCAGGGGATAGAGCGTTTGCTTTCCAATGAGGCGAACCGGGTTTGAATCCCAGTCGATACGAATTCCGCATCCGGCTTGCACCAACCACAGTGCTGACATGAAACATCCTCAGTGGTAGACGGATCATGGTTTAGAATTCCCCTGCCGTCAAGCTAACCATGGGAGGTTCTCGTGGTCTTCCTCTTTATGTAACGCAAATGGGGGTTAGTTCCATCAAAAAGTCCTCCACGATGCCAATTTTTCTACTTGAAAAATACTTGATACAGGAGTATCATTGTCTTCTGGATTGGGTTCAAAATTACAAGGCTACGGAGTTGAACATTAGTAGTCGTAAACCCATAAAATTGGGTCGGTTGTTTAAAGACGGTTGTAAAATAAAATAAAAACCTGCGTATTTTCGAAAAACTACGGAGACTCTATAGTAGTTGGAAAGTATGATTTGAAGCAAAATTTTCCCTTAGTGGTTGTGTTAATTACGTCTTATTTTTAAAAACCAATTCCTATTCCACAATTTCGTTGAAGAAATTGTTTCTAAAAAATTAAAAAAGTCAAAAATCCTGGAGAATCGTTGAATTTTTGTCTACCGATCACGAAGCTTCGTGTTGGAAGATGTGATGTAGAAATGTAATGTAGAAAATTGCAGTTCTTCAAAAAATTGCATTTTCAAATTTATTACGGATGTGGTAGTTTTTCTTTTTATTATTTCCATCAGTTACTTTTAAATACTCATCTTAAGGACCCCAAAAGAGTTATACGCAAATGATATACAGTAAATGATATACAGTAAATGATCAAATTCAAGATGATTCATAATTGAATATAAACTTTTTTTTGTTCATTTATGCAAAAATGATTGAAATTTTAGATTTATTTCCGGTGTATCGAATTTTCATTCCCTGTTTCTTTAATCAGTATCTAATTATCAAAAAATTAAGACATTTTTAAAATCTTATGCTTTAAAAAAAGTAACGAACAAAAAAATGGTGAAATTGATTTTACAAAAAATATATTTAAAAGTGTTCCGTGGAGAAAATTGACACCAACTGCATTCACGCGCAATGCCGAGCCAAATGAAATCGTCCTAAAAACAAAATATAATTTTAAAAAATTTAATCCCAATCAAATGCAACTTATATGAAGATAAAACAAGAAAGTGGCATGAAATTGGAAAAGCATGTTGTTTAATATGAATGGTAAAAAAAGGAAATATCGACATACTTTGTTCATAGCGTTGTGTGCGAGTTGCCATAAATGAAACAACATCACTCATCCTGTCGCCTTAATATTATTCATTTAATATTAATCCAAAACTTCTAAATAGAGTTTAATCGTTAATTTTCAGTGAAGGTATTTCCACGTAGGATTTGAACGTGCGCAATTCTCAACGCATCCTGTTATAAATCCGAGATAAATTGGATGAAATAACGAAATTCATTACTTAAAAACTTGTCATTTTGGTAAAATATCATATAAATCCTTCACGTCTGAGCATGAATGACTTTTTTCAGCGATTTGGCAAATGGAGCTGCTTATTCTTTTCTGGTGAGGCAGCCTCAGCACCTGGGTGTGATCAAAGGAGTGACCGTCAAGTGGACGTCTAAGACTTTCAGCTTGCTCTCCTCTCATAACCTAAATCTGGAACACGTCATCATCAAATCCTTAAACGCCGGAGATGAATCGTAAGTATCCAGATTCAATAAACTTATTGAATGATCTCAAGTTTAAATTAAAGCAAAATACAACGTGAATAAAGCGCATAAATAGACATACTATAGTTTCAGTTCTATAAACAGGAACCTTCCTCGGTGTCTAAACATCAAATGAACGTAAAGAGAATAACACTCGTTAAGTCGTTTAACCAATAAAAAGAGAGGATGGAGTTTGAACAAGGAAGAGATAAGAAATATTACTTATTCCCAGTAATTTAATAATATAAAAAAAAACTCTTGCCAATTTCAAATTAAAATTTTTTATTGTTTAAGACGGTGGAGATTAATTCGGATGATGTTGAAAATTTTTTAATGCATAAATTATGCATAAAAACGAGCACATTTATCATAAATTTAAAAATAGATAATATTTAACTAACATCCAAACCCTGTCCAAATCTATGATTTCACGTGTCTTGTATGGTACCTTATTCTTCACAGATCAAAAGTTGTAATGAATCTCTCTCTAGATTGAAGCTGAGCTGGTCCTATCCTATTTGGTCTTGGAAACATGTTTTCTTGACCGACACAAACAGGGATTTCTCACAAACCCAAACAATTTAATGTTTCCATAAAGACAGATCTATGACGACTTTACTTATCTTTCCACTGGAAATTTAACAATGAACAATCAAATAGTAGCAATTTCCGTGTTTCTTTTGATTGATGCTTCGTTAATATGTCTGAAAACATTTATCATCAGTTTGAAACTGATTCCACAATCATTATTAGACAGATTGTTATGTCTAGCAGCATCAACTTGTAACAACCTCTGTTTCATTTTTCTACCACCTTATACGAATCGAACCGACGGATTCTTCGAGACATTGTTTGGACCTTTCTGGAGATTTTCCAAACAAAAAACAGCGATAAACAATCTTTCACACACCTAAAGTTAAGAAATTTTCCAAATTTTTAATACATAAGAGTTCATTTCTTTATAGGTAGCGGCTACTTTTTAAGCATAAAAATTTGCTAAAATAACATAGTCAGCCATTGCAAGCTCTCGATATGAATTTCAATATGTAACGTAGAATGTAGAATGATGAATTTCAATATGTAACGATATGAATTTCAATATGTAACGTAGAATGTAACGTCAATGTAAAATAGATAAATTCTAGTTCAAATTTATCATTCAAAATTAAAAAATACTTACCAAGAAAACGATAAAAAAATTATTAATAATCAAATGATACTATTTCAAGTAATTCGGATGATTTTTTACTGTTGTTTTTTAAATTATACAGATACAGAAATATATATCATTCTATAAAGAAGAAGAATATTCTATAAGTATTACAATTCTGTACGTTCTGAAATCACATTTATTTATTGAAATGAAGTAAGCAATGATTACTTGCAAGCTTATGTAAGCAATGATACTTCAATTTCTAAAGAATTGAAGACAAATTTTTTTTTTTTTGCCGTAATACACACATCTGCAACAGCATGCGATCACGAAATCGGAAGTTATGTGGTTGATAATAGAAAGCTAAAAACTATTGAGAAATTGTTTTTCTAATGTTGGGCGCGTTCTGTTTCAGAAAGATTTACCAATGTTCTGGGTCGTTTTTTCAGCCTTTTCCTTAATGAAATTTTGCTTTTTATTTGCTGCTAAAAAATGGCGTCATACTCTGCTAATGATTCTGATAGAACTAAATGAAAACTTAATAAATAAAAGCCTGAAAAATACCAATCCGCTAGCGGGCGTACTATCGAGCGTTGCGATCGCGAATAAGAAGGTTTTTTACAAATATTTTCCGATGTGTTTTGGATGTTCCTTCTCTAAAAAGAAAGAGTTTCCATTTTGCTTTTATTTGCGTAAGAAAGAATATCAAACATTTTTCTTTCTTTTTTTAAAAAAATTTAATAAGCCACAAAAAAGAAGGAACGTTGCCATGCTACACTGAAGAAATCTCCAGTGCAACTGATGATCGTGTTGTTTCGCTAGCAGTCATTCGTCTCAAATAACAACGCCCCCAATAGGTCGTTGCGTTCGCGAATTGCAGAAGGCATATAAACATAAAAATTCTATTTTTAAATAATAGAGAGAAATGAAAGATTTATTAGAAACACCTTAAGTTTCGCTGTGTAATCAAACAGGTCACGTTGTTTTCGTTCCCAGCATCCTCGGTAGTAATTCGTTACTTTCAAAAATGTTTTTTTTCCTTCCTTTTTTGATAATTAAGTTAGAAGGTATAGTCTGTCTAAACTAAGAACTCCTCCTACCACAAAGTCTGAGGCCGTCTGGTGCTATGGAAACAAGAATGGCGTGTTTTAGGGAGTGTAGCTTCACTCTAGGACTAACACAATATACCGAAGAAAGATATTCCCTTTCCCCCAGCTACCTGAGCTGAAACCACTCCAAAACAGTGACCCCGCACCCCTTCTTGAAATAGTCATACTTCGTTACCATAGTCACCGCCACAGGTCAAAACGAATGTCTGGCGGAGTTCTTATTTTTGACAAACTATATGCCTAACAGCAATTTTTTTTCTGATGACGTAGTTAGAAACCTAACACATTAAACATTTCTTTTTAAAGAGAAATTTCAACCATATATTATTAAGGATTTATGAGTTTCAGTAAATTAGCTTTGCTTATTTTTTATCCCTTCAGGTCACAAAAACAACAAACGAAAAAATTCTGCAACAAAGGAAACAAGCCAATTGCCTCGAAAAAGAGCGCCATTTTATCTGCCTGTGTATGAATATGATGCCAGAACATAAATAAAGTTACAATGAAGCTTTGTGTTTTTTAATTCCAATATGCGATGCTTACGTACAATGTTAACTTTTTATTATCGAAATTTGCCCTTTTAATGCTTTTATTATCACAGCAAACGGCTAAATGACCCTTCTCACCGGGTTCGAAGATCTCGCTAATACGAATGAGACCCGCTTTGGTGAAACACTCGTAAAAAACTCACCAATCAGGTTCTCGTTCGCATTCAGTGAGATTGGCCCTTTACAATGTTTTTGGAAGAATAGTTTATTTACGTAACAATAAAACTGCCCGATGGACATTTAGCTAAAGTCTGAATATCTCCTAAGATGATCTGAAGACTTACAATCACAATTACTATTCACTGCAAAGAGGATGGCTCCCTTTCTAGGCAGCTAATGTCTTGTGCGCAAAGACGAGCACTTAACGGAAGAACAGGAAAAGTAATTAATGCAGACGATTTTTTTTAAGTTACGAAATCAGACATAAAAACTAACTTTCTCTTAATAAACAAGCCTTTTTTTTCCAGAAAGATTCAGATTTCTGACATTTTTAATATAAGGCCACAATTTAGGAAATATGGTCCCAATAGTTTGGTCACGGGAGAGGTCGATAGTTTGAACGCCATAATCTTAATTTTACTTTTTGCATTCGCCTCCATAACTTAAGAACTTTTTAAGCAAATTGAATAAATGTTTGCACACAGTTATAAAACTCGTTTATCCGAAGATAGATCGGTGCAAAACACAATTTTTAATAAACATTAAAAAAACTTTATTTAATAATAGTCAAAAACATTTTGAGTTGTAAGCCATAAAATTTTTTACTTCATTTTAAAGAATGCAATTTTAAATAACAAAATACATTATTTGAGCAAAATCGGTCGAATAGTTCTCTAGGAATCAAATTTTAAAAGCACGACTTTTTCAATGCAAAAAAATTAATGTTAATCAAAAGCAATATTTATTTAATTAATTTAATAATCATGGTAACTTGGCATTACAATTGTGCCATATGCTTGAAATTAGAAAAAAAGAGTTAATAAATTAATCAATTCACATTTTAATTTTTAAATGTTCCATTTTACATTTTAAATGTTCTACTTTAAATGTACCAATCAAATTCTCAATTTTTAAGTGCATATTATTTTATATGGATTTTTATTTTACGAAAAAGTGACAAATATTTCCGTTGCAGCGTTGGAAAATATTTTGTATTGAAAAGAAAATTTGGTTTTCAAAGCTCCACAAAATAATAATAATCGTTTACTTGTAATGAGGGAAAGATCCGCGTGAATATCAATCGCGATATTGGATTTTGAAAACGCGTGAATACGAATTGTGACATAGGATTTTAAATTCACATGAATACGAATCGCATTTTGACTGCTTTTTAATTTCAGTTAGAAAAACAATGGTTTATATAATGACGCAATTTCTTAGAATTTTGTGACTTTTTGTACGCATAATTTTTTTATTGCTAATATTTACTAATAACTTGTAAATAATATAAAATAATATTAATAATTAATTTAAAAATTTTTTTCTTTATTCTTTCACAATCCAGTCATTTTGACTGCTTTTGGGCAATATAGGTATACACTAAATTTTAGTCTTTCTAGAGTTAAATCACGTGAATACGAATCGCGATGACCGATTTTTAAATTACGTGAATACGAATCACAACGTGTAACTTTTAAATTAGGAAAATAGGAAGTTGATGTTTAATATTCAAACTGCGTGAATAAAAATNCACATCACTTCTTTACCTGTAATGAGGGAAAGAACCGCGTGAATATCAATCGCGATATTGGATTTTGAAAACGCGTGAATACGAATTGTGACATTGGATTTTAAATTCACGTGAATACGAATCGCATTTTGACTGCTTTTTAATTTCAGTTAGAAAAACAATGGTGTATATAATGACGCAATTTCTTAGAATTTTGTGACTTTTTGGGCACATAATTTTTTTATTGTTAATATTTACTAATAACTTATACTGTAAATAATATAAAATAACATTAATAATTAATTTTAAACTAATTTCTTTATTCTTTCACAATCCAGTCATTTTGACTGCTTTTGGGCAATATAGGTATACACTAAATTTTAGTCTTTCTAGAGTTAAATCACGTGAATACGAATCGCGATGACCGATTTTTAAATTACGTGAATACGAATCACAACGTGTAACTTTTAAATTAGGAAAATAGGAAGTTTATGTTTAATATTCAAATTGCGTGATTTTAGAGGATTCCGGCCCACTTAAATATCAAAAATCCGCCAAACCAGAAGATTCAAATTGGATATCTGCTTATTGGCTGAAGAATAACGTGTATGTAAATCTCGTTAAAGGAAATCAACGAAAGTTTAAAAACGAAAGTTTTTTAAATTTGGTTGAAAAATAAGTATCTTCTACTACTATCATTGGACACATCGTGGAAGTTAACAAATATTTTAGAAAAGTGATCAAGCACATGGATGGGCAAATGAAAAAAAATTGCTTAATGCCCCAATTACCAAATGATACTAGGTGGAGTTCATACTGCAACCGCGTAAAAACTTTTGCCAATAATTACCATAAATATCAAGAGATTGCTCTTGAACATCAAAATGAAATCAATAATAATATGTCAAAAATATTAAATACTGTTGGGCTTTACCAGTGAACTAATAATTTGAAAAAAACAGACATCAATTGTTTCCGAAGCTTTGAAAAAGTTTCAGTCAGAAAACTTTTCAATTTCAGAAGCTGTTGAAATATGAATTAACTTACTATTGCGTGCGATGAATAAGAACCCCATAAACATTTTGTAAAAAGATTCCATCAGGCTGTTCAGCCACCTCATTTATTAGCATGTGCATCCTGGATCCCGAAACAAGAGAACAATTTTTAAATGATGAACAAGAGCAATTAGCAGAAAACTGTCTTTCTAAGCATCATCCAGAATTTCTGCCAGTTGTTATGGCATTGAAAATTTCCGATCCTGAATACTTTCCAAAATCAATGATGCTTGACACTGTTATTCAACAGTTTTCATCACAAAAATAGTGGAAAATTATGGCAAAGAAATAAAATTTCAAGCTTTCACAAAATTTCTGCCAATTGTTCTTTTTTCTTTAAATTCAGCACCAGCATCCTCTGTCTATCGATAGACACTTTTCAACTTTCGGTTTGGTGTAGAATAAACTACGATACTACGAAATAGATTAGGAATAGATAAAGCTACAAAACTCGTTAACGTGTTTCACCACCTAAGAGAGAAATGTAGACACTCTGAATCTGCTATATGATAATAATAAGAAATAAAAAAATGGACCTTTTTTTAAGTAAACTCTTAACATTTGCTGACAATTTTAAACTATTTGGAGAAAAGTTATCACCATTAAAAAAACAGCTAAATATTAAAATATTACTTTTAAGATTTTTTAAATATTATTTTTAAGGTTTCATTTGAATATTATAATTTATTTTGTTTCTTTTAATCATGCTTAAAAAAAATTGAAAACAAACAAAAAAAAATTTCTATTAAGTGATACATTAAACAAGAACTAACAAATTTAAAGTTTTATTTTCAGGTTTTAAAAAAATAAGCTTAAACTTCTTATATCAATGCTTTTTTATAATTTTATAGATTAAATTGATTTTTTAAAATTATAAAGTTAAAATTTATCTAAAAGTGCAGTCTTTTTTCTAAGGTTAAATATTTGAAAAATGGGACAACTAACTGATACTCTATATAATTATACTTAATTTTAATTTTACTTTCTATTAATTGTATTATAAAAACATGGAAGACCATCAAATATTTATTTCAGTTCAATTTTATTAAAAGCAAAAGTCAGATGAAATTTAGTTTTTACTGATTATAAATATTTATTGATAATAAATTTGTAATAAGTAATNTATACATATATATATATATATATACATATATGCTTAATAAATATAGTAAATAGATGTGTGGGAAAACAAAAAGATTTATAAACTTGTTCCTTTTATATTACTGTTGCAGTTATGAGCACACCGGACAAAAAATTAGTCACCCTTAGCTAAATCATGAAAAACATCATTTAATATCGTGTAACACCGACTCTGAATTCGATAACCGCATCGATCCGGTTTGGCAGCGAATCCACAAGGTTTTGCCGGTACGTCTAATCCAGTATAAGCCACTCGATGAGGATTTAATCTCGCAAATCAACCAAATTGCAAAGATGCTGATTTCGGCGTTTTACCTGTTGTTCCAACATGTCCCACAAGTTTTCAATAGAGTTCAAGTTAGGTGATTTTGCAGATCAGTCGAAATGTGTTCATAAAACCAGTCACACATATTGTCCGATGAATTTTACTGTTGTCATCTTGAAAAATAAGGGTGTCGACAACACACTCTTCATGAAGATGTTGACTGAAAGGAGACATCAAATCACCCAGAATGTTCAAATAAAAATGTTGGTTCATGTTAGTGGCCACCACGGTGATGGAGACCCAATAAATAATAAGGCCCTCAAAACATGACAGACCCACTTCTGACCGCAGAACCTGATCTTGCACTTGCACACAGACAGGATGAAGTGCTTCATCTGCTCTTCGTAGCACTCGACGACGTGCGTCATTTGAATAAAGGCAAAAACGGGATTCGTTAGACCAGATTACATTCCGCCAGTCAGCCATTGTCCACGTTCGATAACTTCTAACTCACTGAAGTCGCTCAGCTTTATGTGCCTGTGTTAGAAATGGCCTCTTGCAAGATGTTCGACACCAAATGTTCATTGCAAGCAGCTCCCGTCGCAATGTTCTCTACCTAACAGGTTGGGACAGACGTTCATTCTCTAACTGAAGCGATTTCGATTGATTAGTCCTGAAACAAGTCTCCAGTCCCTTTCATGCAGGATCTTTTTCCGACCACATCTTTCGTGACTACGTGTATTACACCACTGCTGAACAGTCCGCATTGAAACACCAACAAATCCAGCAATTCATTTCACTGTATGACCATGGGCACGGCCAAACATATTTACCCATATTACGAAAAAAAAAAAAAAAATCTCACTGACAGCTATTTGTCTTAGATCACGTTGAAGCAGTGTGCACGCAGTTGAGCACATCACTTCACCATTGCGTTATCTAACAAAACCTAATGATTCATCGGTGCTTGCACACTAGGGTGACTAATTTTTTGTTCGGTGAGTTTATTTTATATTGCTTCAGTTAAAAATTGTGAAATGTTATGCATTTAACAATAAAAATTCAAACATGTATTAGTGATAGTGCATTATTTAAACTTATTTTAATTTTATTAAATATATTTTATATAAGCTTTTTAGATTTAATTCTACTTTTAAGCTTATACAACACTATTTATTAAATATATTTTCAGAGTATAATTTTAAAGTTTATGAGCTCTAAATAAAAAAAAAAAACAATTTCCCCCAGTTTTTTTCAAAAATCCCCGATTTTTTAAAACCCTGGTTAGATTCCTTTTTCCGTCAGGCTAACCAAGGGAGGTTCTCGTTGTCTTCTTCTCCATGTAACGCAAATGTGGTTAGTTCCATAACGAAGGCAAATTTCTCCCAATACTTGATCCAGGAAATCCCTTTGTCTTCTGGATTGGGTTTAAAATTAAAAATCTACAAAGTTGAAAATTAGTGTTCGTCAGGGTTGGCAAGATTTTGCCGCAGGTGGAAAAAACCATGGTAAATACCGGTAAAAACCGTCTTGGCAAACAGAGGTTTTTGCCAAGCAAATTGGCAAAAACCTATATTTTCCAAGATGAGAGGATAAAAACAAATTTTTGGTACAAAATTATTCCTAAAAGTGAAATATATACTATAAATATGAATAATTACAAAAAAATTAACAAAATTATTATTCCATAATTAAATCATAATGTAATAATATATAATTTTAGTAGTTTAAAACATTATTGATTAGAAAATTTTTCGATTATTCTCTTTTTTCCAGTGAAATGAACTTACTTTAAATTAATATAACTATAATTTAAAGCATAAAATATCTATCAAGATGTGTAGTTAATTATTGAACAAATAATAGTTTTTTATAATATAATAATAATAATATTATACAAATAATAATATTTATTTATTTGTAAAAAAACATTTATTTAAGGATTCTAAAATGAAAAGAGGTCAAAAACTTTCAATGTTTTAAAAATTATTGCCTTTATATTAATTATTAANCACCGGATCATGTAATGTATCAAAATTATTATTCTTTATGATTGATTTAAATTTGTTTCAAGTATTTTGTAACAATATTGAATCAGCAATTTAGATTATATGGTTTTTGACGGTTTTTACCAGTTTTTGCCCCTGTCCTGGCAAATACCCCTTTTTGCCGGCAAAAACTCCAACCCTGGTGTTCGTAAACCCAAAAATTAGATCGGCTGTTCAACGAAGGTTATAAAATATCTCATATTAGTAGTGTGTAACAAACCAACTAAAAAAACAAGATTCATCATCAGTGGCGATTCTCAATTTATCTATCACAAGACTCTCCTTACATAAACTACAAGAATAAGATTTCTAAGCACAATGAAAATAACTGTGGACAATACAAAAAACTTTTATCATAAATTTTTACAAGAATAATGTTACTGAACTGTATGTACAAAGCTGTGGATAGTAAGCATAAATCTCTGTGAAAAACTTCTTTTACATATACTACAAGAATAAGAAGGTTTTCCATCAGTATGAGTTCGGGTGTGCCTATTTAGATGTTCCTTTTGTGAAAAACTTTTATTACATGCACTACAAGAGTAAGGTTTCTCATCAGTATGAGTGCGACTGTGTCTAGTTAGATGTTCTTCCCTTGAAAATTTTTTATTGCAAACACTACAAGAATAAGGTTTGTCCCCAGTATGCGTGCGACTGTGTCTAGTTAGATGCTCCTTCTGTGAAAAACTCTTACTACATACACTACAAGTATAAGGCTTCTCACCGGTATGAACACGAATGTGCTCAGACAGTATACTCCATTGTGAAAAACTTTTATTACATATGTCACAAGAATAAGGTTTATCACCAGTATGAGTGCGACTGTGTTGAGTTAGATGTCCCGTTGTTGAAAAACTTTTATTACATATGTCACATGAATAAGGTTTCTCTCCAGTATGAGTGCGGCTGTGCCTAGTTAGATGTTCTTTCTGCGAAAAACTCTTATTACATAGATTACAAGAATAAGGCTTCTCCCCAGTATGAGTACGACTGTGTCTAGTTAGTAGCTCCTTCAGTGAGAAGCTCTTGTTACATACACTGCAAGAATAAGGCTTCTCCCCAGTATGAACACGCCTGTGCTGAGACAGTATATTCCCACGTGAAAAACTTCTATTACATATGTCACAAGAATAAGGTTTTTCACCAGTATGAGTGCGGCTATGTCTGGTGAGATGTTCCTTCTGTGAAAAACTCTTATTGCATACATTACAAGAATAAGGTTTCTCTCCAGTATGGACATAACTGTGCATTGTCAGATTACTCCTAACTGAAAAACTCATACTGCATATGTTACAAGAATAAGGTTTCTTACCTGTATGAACATGACTGTGAACCATTAGCTGAGACTTTGATGGAAAATGCTTTTTGCACAAACTACAAGAATAAGGTTTCTCATTTATAAGAACATCAAGCTCATGCAAGTTGTTATCTTTTAAATTCATGTTGACAATCACCTGGTAATAATTTATGAACAGTTTAATTATCTTGCTGAATACTTTAACGTAAACTGTAATGGCAAGGTTTTTATAAGGGTCATGTCAGGTTAATATAGATTTTTATGAAAACTAGAATAAAAAATTTACAAGATTATTGTTTTTCTATATATAGTTACTGATGAACATGAATATTACTATACATTTAAAAAAAGATTCTGAAAACAAAGGTATCAGAAGTATTTAAGTTATTAGCAATGGAAGAATGGAAGTATTAAGTTATTATACAATGGAATAAGTAGCATGGAAATATTATAGTCTTATGAAAAAGCTTTTTTTTTCTTCAATTTTTTACAGTAGCAAATTTTTAAGGTGTAAAATAAAAGACTTTTCTTGGCTATTATCCTAAATTAACTTGAATTGTCATGAAACACCGGATGGTCAACACAACTTAGAAGGGCAACCCTGAAAAAATTCAATAATCATGAGTAATTTTCAAAAATTTACCGCACATTTTAGTACACAAAAAATATTTTTAATTACTATTCATTTAATTACTATTCACTTCAATAACTTATTTCCTAAACATAAAATTTTTTCAAACTACATGTTCTAAAGAACTAGTAGATTAATTTCATTCAAGTTTTGCATAATGTTATTAAAAACTGTATAGTTTGAAATAATGTAAACATTTGTATACCTTACAATAATATAAAATTTGTATTACAGTAGGATTACATTTTGAGCGGCACATTAATGTTAGCCTTAAAGGATAGGTTAAATAATTGACACAATTTATGACAAGGGCTGTGACATTACACATTTAGATTGTAATAAAAACATTTGAAAACAAAANTTGTCTTAAAACAGAGTTAAAAATTAAATCCTTTTGAAAAACTAATTTGTCCCTTTTAATATTGATTTTAAAATCTTTAATGATATTCTCTCTCCATTCAATGATCTTTAATGATATTCTCCTTCATTATTCTCTTGAGTATATATATATATATATATATATACTCAAGAGCCAAAACATTATGACCACCTCTATATTTCGCAATGAACTCTCCTGGATGACGTGGAAGGTACATGATCAGGTGGAAGTGGTATTTAACTGTTGCTGGAGAGTTTGAACAATAATTCTTTCACTTACTTCTGTGTGTAATGGGAAAAGCTGCGGATCTAAGCGACTTCGATAGAGGGCAGATTGCAATGGCTCGAAGGCTCGGAACATGTATTTCCGAAACTGCACGACTCGTGGGTTGTTCGCGATCTACAGCAAAGTGGATAAATGACGGTGAAACCAGTAGTAGACAACATGGTGTTGGACGTCCACAGGCTATCAAAGAAAAAGGTCATCAGAGATTATCTTGCTTGGTGGACCAAAACCGGAGCAAGACAGTGGCTCAGCTGACAGCCCAATACAATGCAGGGTCAAGTAGAATAGTATCAAGGTATTGCTGAGCACACTGTTCAGCGGACACTGTTGGATATGGGGCTATGCAGCAAACATCCCACTTGTGTGCCTTTGCTGACCAATCGCCATCGCCAACTATGCCTGCGCTGGGCTCAGGATACGACTGGTTCATGGATCAGTGGGAGAGAGTTGCCTGGTCAGAAAAATCACAGTTTTTCATTCATCACGCTGATGGCCGTGTCAGGATACGCCGTCTTCCAGGCGAACAGTTGCTTCCTCAATGTACAGTAGGTCATACACAGGACGGTGGTGGCGGTATTATACTTTGGGGGACGTCCTCTTGGGAGTCTCTGGGACCCGTGGTTATGGTAGAAAATATGACTATGAAAATTACAGGGTATCTGAACATCATTGCGGACCAGTTGCACCCTTACAGGGCCTCTGTTTTCCAGCTGCAAATGGAATTTTCCAATAGGACAATGTCCCGTGTCACAAAGCTCAAATTGTGTTGAAGTGATTCCAGGAATATGATGCTGAAATTCCAGTTAATATCAAGGCTGCCTAACTCACCGGATCTCAATCCGATAGAACACATTTTGGATGTCATAGAACGACAGTTCAGAGTTCAAAGACCACTAAGTCGCAATATCTCAAATTTGCATGACCGTTGCTTAAACATCTAGTACAATCTGTTTCCGTCCATCTACCAAGGACTTGTGGCAACCATGCCAAGGCGGGTTGCAGCTGTGTTGTGGGCCAACTCGTTATTAAGAGGTGGTCATAATGTTTTGGCTCTCTCTCTATATATATATAAATAAGGCCTGATTAAGGTTTAAAATTAAACAGAAATCTTCATCATAATAAAGGTAAAGTTTTTTTAAGAATAAAATAAATTTTAATTAGCTAGTTTTCAGCAAATGGTATCAAAAATATTTTATTATTTATTGTGTTTGTTAGCCACATTTTTATGATTTATTAATCATTTATTTTATGATTAATCAAAATTCATTAAATCATATTGATGTACTAAATAAATAAAAAATTTCATAAGCAACTCTAACTTAAAACTCTTCAAATAAATATTTTTTTTAAAACTAATAATATTGCAATTTATTTTATTTAACAACTAAAATTATTAAGTATAGGTTCGATAAATTTAAAATTGAACTTGCACTGAAAATCTTCAAGGTAATTTAACATTTTAATTAATAGTTATTATCAAATTACCATGGCTCAATCTTTACAAAGAAAAACTCTCGAGTAAGGAAAAGAGAAATTTCTAAATTTTTGTTATAATATACAACATGAGAAAGTACTAAACTAGAATAGCAAATCAGCAGTGTTCTCCCTGATAGTTTCTAGATGAGCTGGCCACCCTGCTTGCAATTTGATCCCTATAAATGTGACCTCTTTATAAAAATATATAAACACTGCCCCTTTTTTATTTATATTCATTTTGAAACTTTACTTCTTAAAGAATAATTACAATACACACTATGTGAATAGGTCTAATACTGATTACTATCAAAAATATTTACTTTTTTAGGATGTTCAACTCCTTAAATTTATATAAGTATTTCTTTCTTCAGAGGGAAATATTAATAAATGTTTTAAGGATATTAATATTTAATATTTTTTTAAAATAAATACCTTTTTTAAAAAAATGTAACTTTAAATTTTCATTTATAATAATTTTCAGTTTAAATTATAAAAAAAGTTTTAAATTTACTAGAAAAAAAAATTATGCCCAGAGGTAGTTTATGAGCAATAACAATTATAGCGTCTAATTGTTTTTTTCCATGTCTATAACATGACAACCAACCATCTACATAAATTATTTATTCAGCAAGATCTAAAGTATCTATCCTTTAAAATTTAACATCTAAAGTATCTATCCTTTACACTCAAGACCTTATAGCACACATGCAATAAATTATATCAATTCTATTTTTATATTTTATATGCATTTAAAGTTCCAATTGCTTTTTTAATTTTCCAGTTATCAATAAAAAATGTTTTACAGTATAATTTATAATATTTTTTAAATGTGTGAAAAAATAAAAAAAATTAAGGAGCAGCTTTTATTTGAACAAAGATTTATGAGTTCAACAGTATGCTGATTCTTAACGATGAATTTAAAAAAAAAAACATCTTGTGACACATCAACATCATTTTATTTTTTGAGGTAACAAATTACTTACGCAGTATGAATCTTATCAACATTTACTTCGACGAGGATAATTTTTCCTTCAGCCAATTCATCATACTGTCATAAAGTAAGATACCTTTTACGATAGCAGCCTCAATAAATATTTTCTATGAATACTCTTCTCTTAATTTTTTATCCATATTAGTGTAATGAAGCATTGTAAAAGCGAACCACTTTTAATTGCTATGTTTTTCAATATAGAATGCTTAAATATTTCGACATGAAAGTAGGTCGTTCATATTAAATTACTTAAAAAAGTCTTCCGATGCTAATATTAGAGTTGATAAAAATCAAAAATTCACTATCTTTGAAATTTAATTCAGAAAAATTTATTTAATTGTGCTCTCTCGGGTTTGTTTACATTAAATGTTGCCTATTTCTACCCGCATAGGCGTCAATTAAACTCTTCAAACAGTTTCTGCAATTATAGATGGCGCTCTACTACTGCAACTCTTGAAAATTTCATTTCAGTTACATTTTTACTGTAATAAGAAATACGATGATGCTAATTCGGAGATAAAAACAATTCTCAATTGTTCGCCCTATAAAACACGTTGTGAGTGACTGAAGTCATATTCTTGGCCATAGATGGACAAGAAACGCACACTCGGTCTGAAAATTGGCTTGGTTTATCAAGCGGTCTTGCTGATATTGGTAAGTAGCAAAACGAACAACAAAAAGGCTCAGTGATTAGCTATGATAGAACAGGAATCTTGTAGGAATTCACAACACCTGTGGGCTAAGAATCTTAACCAGTTTGTATCCTTTGTTAGGATCAAAATTGTGATGGCATGTCTTCGGATCATCCTCTGGGATGTTTCCCAGACCTTCGCCAATAGCCCTAGTGCGACGTAAATTAACAACAACAACATCGATGCCAAGAAAAAGGGTCAAGTAATTGTATTATGTTATGAGTTGCAGCCTGCTCTTTATGTGTAAGAAAATAGAAAATACGCTTAAAAACGGGTATAGTTCTCTCATCACTAGAGCTACATCGGGAGGAAAAAGTCTTGTTTACTACCGAGAATAAATTCAAATATTTTGAATAATTGCTTGTTTTTATTCTCAGGAGTGGTCGTAGTAATTTATTTACGTCGCACTAGAGAAGCACAATGGGCTATTGGCGACTGTGTGAGAAGCATCCACAAGAATGTTCTAAAGGTCGTACACAATTTTGACCTTATGCAGAGTGGGTAATCTGCATCCAACACTCTATTGCAAGACAATTAAACAACCCTTNTATTCATTTGCACCCTTTTCAACCTCAACGACGTCTTTAAATAACAACCTCCTTTATACCTTTAAAATATACCTTGTTTATACCTCATTTATACCTCGATTTTTTCATAAGGGAAGGACCTATACCACACACCCTCGGTAATTCAGATGGGTGATAAAAATGTTCCTCTCGCACATCTCATTCCAAAGAGTTAAAATCAGAACTTAAATCAACCCATTTGAAATTGTCTAGCAGTATTTGCGTAAAAAAAAAATTATAGGCTTTTTAACTTCTGCATTTAATATTTTGCAATCTAAGAAGTATGAAATTCTAGTTTTGAATCAGCATTACGACATTTTCAGCTTCTAAGTAACTTAATTGTATTAACTTTTTGTTTTCAAAATTTATACCATTACATCGTTAGGTGAAGTATTTTTTTAAAAAAAATTGTGTAGCTAATATTTTCACAATAGGTTAAAACCTTTTCGACCTTTAACGACTTTATACTCAATTATTCTAGACAATGCTCCGCGATGGCTCAGTGGTTACGGCTCTTCTAGCTAGTCTGGGGAGTGAAGGTGGCCTGTGCGCAATGCCGTTGTTTCTCACGAAATGTGGAATCTTATTTTCCAAAAAAACCTGGCTTTCAACGAGGTGTTGCGAAAAATATTTCATTTAAGGGGGGGGGGAGAACATTGCAATCAAATTGAAAATTTATTAGGTTGTTTAAACGTAAATATTACCTTTTTTTATATACTGCAGCTAATATATTGCATTTATTAATCCTTTAAGTAATACTGAAATGAAAACTGGTTTAACTGCGGAATTCTTGAAAAGTAAAATGTTTTTTCTTCCCGTCATTCAAAAACTTTGGGATTTTACGTTACTACAAATCACGAGTTGGTGAATACGTAATGAAAAGTAAAGCTATTAAAGAAAATAAGGCAAAGAAAGTTGAAGCGACAGGGACACAGTCAGCATAATGGAAAGTGTATATAGACATTTTATTTATAATTGTGTAGTGTGAACAAATTGAATAGAAAATGGAATTCTCAGTAAAAGAATAGTGCTCTAATTTTGCTTGATTTAACTTTCCTAACCTATGAAACAAAGGAACTCTTATACTATGTTTTCCAGTAATTTAGTGGTAAATCATATTACAAGAAACTACTTTTAATCTTTTGCCACGAAAAGGTTTCACCAAGGACCCCAGGATGGGAGGTCACAGACGGTTGCTGTGACCCTCCAAAGACTTTCACAATTCAGCAAATTTTTCTTTGCCATTTAACATGTTTACAAAAATTAATTTTCTATCGCTTTATTTAAAAAACAGAAGAAAAAATTAAATATTAACTCTTTAATTTACTTTTTGGTGGAAAAAAAAAGGATGCATAAACATCATTTACAGGCATTCCATTTCTCAATTCTTCATCAAAAAATCTTCCTTAATTCTAAAAAGAGAAATTCACAGTCACTCATCGTCAACTCTTATTTCCTAATACAAACAAGGCAGTTTCATCAGAAATAGATAAGACGCCAATTAACTGACTTTCCCAAAGCCTCTCACCCTTCTTTTATGAAAAAGAAAAATTCTAATAGTGCAACAATACATAGGTAAATACAGTTTAGTTACTTGTATGAAGTTTAAAAGAACAATTAACCAGCAATTTTATATCTAGATACTAATTTATTAATGAATTAAGATAATAGTTTGCACAATACCTTCAATAAAATCTTTTTTTCACCAACATATTTGATAAACTATAATGAATTTCACAAATATGATTTCATATGCATAATAAGTAACACTCTTAAGCACTTCGTTACATTATATACAGTATATTAATATTCTTAGACATTTGTTTTCTTTCAGATTGGTTTGAGATTGTCTTTTTGAAGCACTGTGTGTCGGCTAGTAGCCGATTAATCGATATTTGACTAAATTACAATTTATTACATGTCTAAGCCCTGTAGTAAACGAATACGTCATATTGGCAGTGGCTCATAACTCAACAGCGCAAATGATATCCTTAAGCAATGGCAATTTTCATTTTGTCTGTAATCAGTTAATTAACAAGTCTCACAAAAACTCTTTTTATATAACCTACAAGAATTCTAAGTATAAGGAAAATAACTATGAACAGCTGATTCACTATTATGTAAAAATAATAAATTTATTAAACTTTTTACAAGAATAAAATTAACTCAGCAGTGGGAACTCAACTAAGGATAGATATTCTTGTGTAACCAGAATTAGGTTTGTCACCACCATCAATGCGACTGTGATGAGTTAGATTTTTCTACTTGAGAACAACTTTCTTAAGATACACTGCAAGAATAAGGTTTCTTTCCAAAATGAGTGCGAGCAGGGGCATACACAAGGGAGGGGTTTAAACACCCCCCTTGAGCTCAGACAAAATAGCAAAAATAAAAATATTAGTAGAAATTATGCGGGCTATCATTTTTTAAGACTATATATTTTTATTTGCCTTATGCCTACTTTTTTTTCCACAGTATTTCTCAAAATACTAAAAAAATATTTACTATGGATGGGTGATCGTGAAAAGCTAAGAGTGGTGGCGCTAGTGGTAAAATTGCTCTTTCAAGACTTCCGGGCTACTGCTTCCGATATACTTTTACGCCGCAGATTGAAGAAACGCACCATCATATTATTGCATCATATCTTTTGCAGTATTTCACATGTACCGAGTTCTTTCTTTCAGCCGTTAAACTTCAGCATTATCATATTAATATTATAATCATTATAATATTTTTTAATTAGGCTAACTTAAAAATATATTTTTGGCAACATTTTATTCAAATGTAGTCAAATAAGGGATAAAATACAAAACTTGGCAAACCTTAAGAATTATTCACAATGAGATATTAACTTTCCCAAATTTTTTTTGGCCTTACGACCTCTGCGAATCAATAAATTTCCGAAAGCTCTTATGAATGGTACAATTATGTTTAGATATGAACCCAAATTACAATAACAAAACAGCATAGAATATTAGGCTTGTTCACACATCGCCTCGTAGTCATAACATAAGCGGAGGGATACACCGGAAATGTTCTAAATTTCTTCCGGTTTAAGGACGCTTGTTATTGTTTACATTAGACCACCCATCGATAATAGAGTTGTACTTTTGAAACCAAATTCGCGTGATACTGTTACGGGCAGGTTTCTTTCTGTCCTGCCATTTGCGATAGTTTTCGAGATTGGCAGTCATTCGCGAGGTCTTTACGCGATGATTCTGGAATCCTAGACGTTCTGTCGTCTTTGAGACAATTCGAGAATTATGGAGACGCGGTGAAAAATTATATAAAAGGGGGAACGGAGTACAGTGGAGTTAGTTAGTCAGACTAAGAGTTATCTCTGCCGCTTGTCTTTCGGAGCTCGTCGAGACAAAAAGTTAATTCAGTCGCCACTATTTCGACTAGTGAAGAAATCAGTAACAATACCATTGGAGATACTGTGCTCGTTGAAGTTATTCAATCTAGCTCGAAACTTTGAGATCCTTTTTTTTCTTCCAATGGCAGGCACGGAATTTGAATCTTTTGCCTATACTATGCCAGAATTGTTGCTCAGTTCGCGTTACCCAGTGGGCACCTGTGAACCAAAGTCACGGAGGCGAGCAACATTGCCCACGCCACACTGCCACAAATCCGTTTATAGGGTGGGCCACATTCACACACACAACAGAGGACAAAACAAAGAGAGAGAGAAACATCCATGCCCAGAGCGGGATTCGAACCCGCAGCCTATGGCTTCGCAGTCAAGCACGCCTATGATTATACCATTCTCGGTGCGTCCCGTCTCGAGAGCACTATTTGATAGAAAGTTGTAGGTCTTAGAACTTTTTTATTCTATTTTCTTGCCATTTTCTACATTTACGTGCGTTTTTTTTTTTACATTGTACTGCCTACATATATGGGAATAAAAATCCGTTGAGTATTAAATTTGATCAACCATTTATTTACCAATATTTTTATGTGCAGTCTATCTAATTTTCTTTTCATGTTTAGGCAGCAGCCATGTTTGTTTCAAAAAGTGTCGGAGTCGGACAAAACGGGACACTTATGAGTTGGATAAAACGGGATAGAGTTTTTTATGTCCCGTGTTATCCATCTATTTATTTGTTGGATTATTACATTTTGAAATAGCCATATATTAATGTAGGCCTAAGCTTTTCGAACAACTTATTTATATTAGCAGTATATATTTTTGAAAAATTTAGTCTCTTTATGCAAAATTTGTTTATTAACGTTCATTATTCAGCTTTTTATTTTCGACTCTAGGATCTCACATCTTTCTTTAGAACTAATTGTAATGTATTTCTCTGATGAAGACTTGAGCTTTTTTATATATAAACTTCTTAATTTTCTGAATTGCTCAATTCAATCTACATTAAATTCTAAAAAGAATTATTCTCTTTGCTTACCGAAGAATTTAAATACTTGATTATTAAAGAGTCTTTCAGGGATAATGTAATAATAAAAATAATGTATGGTTTTCCTAAACAGATATTCCGTAGAAAATAAAAACAATAATGGTATCCCGTTTTGTCCGACTCTCCCCTATATATTTGCTGTTCTTGGATCTTTAGGATGCCAAAACGCAAGAATTTAACAATTTTTAATCATTTTGAGAAAAAAATCACGACCTGAAATAAGCGAGGTGACAGCATCTGGTACCAATGTAAGTTTTTCTATTGTACAGAAATGTGATACTTCCGTTGAAGAAAACGTTTCTAGCACAACAAAATCTGATGAATGTGAAAGTGGCCCTCAAAGTGTTACTTCCCACCCATATGACATTGGACTTTTTTCAGAAGATATTACATGCGAGAAGATATTACACCAACAGGGTTCATGCTCTACTTTAAAAATGAAATTCAAGTACTTTTTAAGACTAATTATAAAATTTTCAAGGACTTAAATTCTATTAAAAGATAGACTAAAATTTAACGTTTTAAACTAAAATGTTTTGAAGATAATAGTACTAAGAAATAAGACTTCCATTGCCTCTTTCCTCTTTATTTCGAAAAGTAACCTAAGTATAAAAAAAAAGCAAGGGTGAGTGACATCATGTGAAGAATAAAATTTGTAAAGCATAAAAAAGTCAGATTTGTATTTTACATAAGGCCAATTTTAAGTTAGGTATACAACCTTTGAACAAGCAAAGATTCGAACATGTCATAAAGAAAAGAGGAACATTCAACATGGTGCATGGCCAAATCTTTCAGCAAATAATAAGAATTTTTTAAGAACTTTTTAAGCACTATAAACAATAACAAAATGCAAAAAATTTTCAAAGACTCTACATGATCATGATAAAATAACTAGTTTTTGACAAAGAACTCTGTTCTCGATTATATTAGCCATTAAAAAATGATCAAGAGATTTTTCGGTTCGATTTCAGAGGGTGGAAAGTGAAGCTGGAAAATGAGACTATCTTGCAAAATGCAGCAGAATTGCACATGAGAGTGCAATAATCTCACCGAAACCAGCTCACTAGGCGTACGTGCGGACTCGCAAGCATTTTATCAAACCTGTAAAATGATTGGCGCTTTTATACGCTATGAACCAACGATATGCAGAAATAAGATTGTAGTTGAATGAATTGTGAAAACGTAGAATAGAAAAATGTGAAAAGCATACTTATGCAAAATACGTGCCGTAAATTGGCATGGTCAAGAAGAAGAAAAATCTCATTTTCGAAAGGGAAAATTAAGCATTTTTTAAAACCACCCAATGAAAAAAGCACCTTTAAGGGCTTTTAAAAAACGAAAATCAAAAATAAGCACTTGTTAAAAATGCTATACAAAATGTTTCAAACATTCTATACGAAGAGAAAAACAAAGTATACTAAAGGTAATTATAATAACAAATCTACAGTTAATGTAAAGAAAATAGAAAAATTACCAATAAAAGTTATTGAAAAATTTTATTGGTAAAAAACTTAAGATTCTTATTTGATATGTAAAGAACAATACTAGTACCTATTAACAGATACACTAATTTTTTAATGTTCATGGTAAAATATGATTAAAAAAAGAAGTAGATTAAGTCCCTGAAAATCAAATTTTAATAAAACAAAATGTTAATGCTGTAATGATATTAATATACAAATGTAGCCAACTTTAAAAACACAGATCATCAAGAAAGAATATCCACGATCATTTATAAAAAGGAAAGCAGATCATATCAGTGAATAAATTAATAAAGAAAAACATGTCAAAACTTGGAAAAAGTATGCTCAGTTAATAAAAATGAGTGGTTTGAGTTAGAAGTACAACACAGAAATATGAGAAATAGGGTGGTTTTCGATACTTTCAAGGTCATTTTTTAAATTTTCAAGGATTTAGCATTATTTTCAAGTACTTCTTGGAGCCCTTGAAAATCGAAATGAAATTCAAGTACTTTTCAAGGCCGCAGGAACCCTGCACCAAGTTCTTAAACTTAAAAAATCAAATCAAAATTTAACTAAACAATGTTGTCTAAATAAGAAGACAAAATTGTCAGCTGTCTAAATTTGGGAAATAATAGTGCTTTCTTACATACTTGAATTTCTTTTAGAAATTTCAGAAAATTATGAACACCCCCTTGAAAAAATTCTGCGTACGCCACTGAGTGCGACTGTGTCTTCATTGAAAAACTTTTATTGCATGCTCTACAAGAATAAATTTTTTCGCCAGTATGATTGCTACTGTGATTAGACAGTGCATACCCATCTAAAAACTTTCATTCTACATGTCACTAGAATAAGGTTTCTCCTCCTTCAGAATGAGTGCGACTGTGAATAGTTAGCGTCTGCCTTCTTGAAAAACTTTTATTACATGTAGTGCAAGAATAAGGTTTCTCACTAGTATGAACACGTCTGTGCTCAGTTAATGTTGTCCCATGCGAAAAACTTTTATTGCAAATTTCACAAGAATAAGGCTTTTCACCAGTATGAATGCGACTGTGTTCGGTTAGTGAATATTTTCTTGAAAAACTTTTATTACATTCACTACAAGTATAAGGTTTTTCCTTAGTATGAGTGTAACTGTGTTCAGTTAGTTGACATTTCCTTGAAAAACTTTTATTACATTCGCTACAAGAATAAGGTTCTTCACCAGTATGGATATAAGTGTGGTTTGTTAGATGATGCTTTTTTGAAAAACTCTTATCGCATACAGTACAAGAATAAGGCTTCTCACCAGTATGAATGCGACTGTGCACAGACAGTGTACCCCTTTTTGAAAATTTTTTATTACATACACCACAAGAATAAGGTTTCTTACCAGTATGAGTGTGACAGTGTCTCACTAGCTGTTGCTTCCATGAAAAACTTTTATTACATATGCCACAAGAATAAGGTTTCACACCAGTTTGAGTACAATTGTGTATAGCTAGTTGATCTTTCCTTGCAAAACTTTGATTACATGCACTACATGAAAATGGTTTCCTGCCCGTATGAACACTAGTGTGCCTAGACAGTGAACTCTTTCTTGAAAAGCTTTTATTACATACCCTACAAAAGTAAGGTTCCACCTCAGTATGAGTGCGACTGTGATCAGTCAGTGCATGCCTATCTGAAAAACTTTTGCTACATATGTCACAGGAATAAGGTTTTTCACCAGTATGTGAGCGAATGTGTCTAGTAAGACGTTCCTTTACTGAAAAACTTTTATAACATATGACACAAGAAAATGGTTTCTCTCCAGTGTGAGTGCGACTGTGTCTAATTAGCCGATGCTTCCATGAAAAACTTTTATTACATGTTGTGCAAGAATAAGGTTTCTCACCAGTATGAGTGCGAGCGTGCTGAGACAGTGCGCTCCCACAGATAAAGCTTTTATTACATATGTCACAACAATAAGGTTTTTCTCCAGCATGAATGCGACTGTGACAAGTTAAATAATTTTTCCTTGAATAGCTATTATTGCATACACTACAAGAATAAGGTTTCTCACCAGCATGAATACTACTCTGCTCACTCAGGTGATTATTATCTGACAACCTACTATCACATAAACTATAAGGATGAGGTTTCTCATCTAGGTGAACAATATGCCTAAGCAAGTTGCTATCTTTTAAATCCATATTGATACCACACTGTATTAAATTTTGCGCAAATTAATTATCTTGTTAAAGACATTTACATGAAATGTAATTGTAAGGGTACACGAGAATATTCTGCTTAACGCCAAATTAAAACTGATTTTTACAAAAGCTTCAGCAATAGTTATACAAAAATGTTTTCCAGTTGATTGAGTTGCTGATGAAAGCGAACATTATTAAACAATACAATAAAACATTCAGAAATCAGTATCTAGGCTAATAGCAGTGATTAAGCAACAGAATTGTTTAAGTTATTATCAATATGTCTAAGTAAACAATGAAATAAATGAATGAATAACAATTAAACATCATATTAGAATACCATGCAATGTTATTGTTGTCAGGCAATGAAAATGAGATTCTTCAATTTCTCACAGCATCAGTAAAAAAATTTTTTACGGTATCAGACAGTCTTTTCTAGGGTATTATCCAAAATTAACTTCAAGTGTTATGAAGCACTGGGCAGTGAACCAACTTATACGGGCAACCCTGAAAAGAAATAATATTCATATAACTATGAGACTCTGTTTGCACACCTTTGTAATTTTTTTTATAATTCATATTCTTTTTTTCCCAACCCTTAAACTTCAATATTTTCCCAAACATTCAGAACAGTTTGTTCCCAAAATGTTCAATTATTGTAGCTTATTTGAAAAACAATTTTTTGTACTTTGGAAAAAAAACTATACTGAAGGAGTACAGATTATAGGACTTAGTAAGAAGAAATAAATATAAAGTAATCAAAGTAAAGTACAGTAAAGTATTTAGTCACTGATAATCAGGGGTTTGTTTAGAAGAAATTTGAGTCCAATAACGGGCCCTTCACAAAATATAATTTCATAAAAACGGAACCTTCACAAAATAATTTAACTTTTAATCGGACCCTTCACAAATTTGTTGATCTTCATTATTATTTTGTTAATCGAATAAACCCTACCCAGGGGGGGGGGGAACAAGAAAGATGGATATAAACGAATTAAGTTTTGTTTTTGGCAGACTCTTCTTCCATTATTCGTACGAAATGAATATAAATGAATTCGTCGCCTTGAAGCATTCCTGTAATAAATTATACCAATTCTTTATTTTCAAATTTTAAATATATTTAAAGTTCATATTGCTTTTTTAATTTTTCAGTTATCAAAAGGAATGTCTTATTGTATTATTTTTTAAATTCGTGAAACAAGAAAAAAATTAAGAAGCAACTTTTATTTGACATAGATTTATGAGTTTAACGGTAGGCTGATTCTTAAACAAAAGAACCATCTTGTGACACATCAACATCATTTTATTTTTTGAGGTAACAAATTACTTACGCAGTATGAATCTTATCAACTTTTACTACGACGAGGATAATTTTTCCTTCAATCAATTCATTATATGGTCATAAAATAAGATACTTTTTACGATAGCAGCCTTAATAAATATTTTCTATGAATACTCTTCTCTTTATTTTTTATCCATATGAGGGTAATGCTAAGCATTATAANGCGATTTTTTTTCTATCTTCTGTACCTGTTATTTCAATTTCCTCCCCGTTCCTGATATCACGACGGTAACACCGTTCTTTTTTGGTCCTCTCCTCTTAGAGAGCGCCTTTTCTTTCCCCCATCTTCCCCCTTTCCGTCGTGATGTCATGATCGGGTTTCTCTTTTTCCTCCTACCCCTTGGCGACCTATCCAAATAGGTCGCCAAAAAATTGGCGGCACTTGGCCTTGCCGTAGTTATGATAATCATCCCAAGAAAGTTTTCGGATGCGAATATTAGAATTGATAAAAATCTAAAATTCACTATCTTTAAAATTTAATTCAAGAAAATTTATTTAATTGTGCTCTCTCTGATTTGTTTACATTAAATGTTGCCTATTTCTACCCGCCTAGGCGTCGGTTGAACTCTCCACTACAGTTTAGTAGATGGCGCTGTACTACTGCAATTCTTGAAAAGTTCATTTCAGTTACATTTTTACTGTAAATAAAAAAAATCGATGATGCTAATCCGGAGATCAAAACGATTCTCAAACGAGTTGTGAGTGGCTGAGGTCATATTCTTGGCCACAGATGGACTAGAAACGCACACTCGGTCTGAAAATTCGCTTGGCTTACCAAGCGGTCTTGCTGATATTGACAAGTAGCAAAACGAACTACAAAAAGGCTCAGAGTGATTAGCTATAATAGAACAGGAATCTCGTTGGAATTCGCAACACCTGTGAGCCAAGTATCCTAACCACTTTGTATGATTTGTTCTTAATTTTCGTTCATATTCGATACCAAGAAAAGGGGTCAAGTAATTCTATTATGTTATAAGCTGCAGCTTGCTCTTTATGTGTAAGAAAATGGTAAATAAGCTTAAAAACGAGTATAGTTCTCCCATCACTAGAACTACATCGAATAGAAAAGGTCTTGTTTACTACCGGGAAAAAATTTAAACATTTTGAATAATTGCTTGTTTTTATTCCTTGTAGTACTTCATTTACGTCGCGCTAAAGCAGCACAATGGCTATTGGCGACTGTGTGAGAAACATCCACAAGAATGTTCTAAAGGCCATCTCAATTTTGACTTTATGCAGAGTGGATGATCTGCATCCAACACTCTATTGTAAAACAACTAAACGAGAACCTATACCACACACCCTCGGTAATTCAGATGGGTGATCAAAATTTTCCTCCTCCCGCACATCTTAATTCCGGAATTTAAATCAGAACTTAAATCAACCCATTTGGAATTATCTAGCAGTATTTGCTAAATAGTAGAAGCTTAGAAATAAAATTATAAACTTTTTTACTCATGCTTAATCTTTTAAAGTATATTTTGCAATCTAAAAAGTATGAAATTCCAGTTTTGAATTAGCATTACAACATTTTTAGCTTCAAAGTAACATAATAGTATTCACTTACTGTTTTCAAAATTTATGCGATTTCATCGTTAAGTGAAGTATTTAAAAAAAAAAAATAAATATTTTGTAGCTAATATTTTCACTATATGTTAAAAACTTTTCGACCTGTATGTTACTCTTTAACGACTTTATACTAAATTATTCTAGAGAATGATCCGTGCCGGCTCAGTGGTTAAGGCACTTCAAGCTAGTCTGAGATGTGAAGGCAGCCTGTGCGCAATGTCGTTGTTTCTCACGAAATGTGGAATTTTATTTTCCAAAAAAACCCTGGCTATCAACGAGGTGTTGCAAAAAATGTCTTATTTGGGGGGGGGGACATTGCAATTACATTGAAAATTTATTAGGTTGTTTAAGCGTAAATATTACCTTTTCTTATACTGCAGCTAATATATTGCATTTATTAATCTTTTGATTAATACTGAAATCAAAACAGGTTTAACTTCGAAATTCTTGAAAATTAAAATTTTTTTCTCCCCGNTGTCTTATTTGGGGGGGGGGGACATTGCAATTAAATTGAAAATTTATTAGGCTGTTTAAACGTAAATATTACCTTTTTTTATACTGCAGCTAATATATTGCATTTATTAATCTTTTGATTAATACTGAAATCAAAACAGGTTTAACTTCGAAATTCTTGAAAATTAAAATTTTTTTCTCCCCGTCATTCAAAAACTGTGAGATTTTACGTAGCTACAAATCGCATGTTGGTGTGTACAAAATGAAAAGTAAATTTATTAAAAAAATACAGCAAAGAAAGTTGAAGCGACAGGGACACAAACAACATAATGTACAGTGTATATAGACATTTTATTCATCCTATAGTATTGTAAACAAATTGAATAGATAATGGAATTTTTAGAATTATCAGCAAAAGAATAGTGTGCTCTAATTTTGCTTGATTTAACTTCCCCAACCTATGAACGAAAGGAACTCTTATACTATGTTTTCCAGTAATTTAGTTGTAATCATATTACAAGAAACTACTTTTAATCTTTTGTCACGGAAAGGTTTCACCAAGGACCCCAGGATGGGAGGTCACAGGCGGTTGCTGTGACCCTCCAAAGACTTTCACAATTCAGCAAATTTTTCTTTGCCATTTAACATGTTTACAAAAATTAATTTTCTATCGCTTTATTTAAAAAACAGAAGCAAAAAATTAAATGTTATCTCTTTAATTGACTTTTTGATGGAAAAAAAAAGAATGCATAAACATCATTTACAGGCATTCCATTTCTCAATTCTTCATCAATAAATCTTCCTTAATTCTAAAAAGAGAAATTCACAGTCACTCATCATCAACTCTTATTTCCTAATACAAACAGGCCAGTTTTATCAGAAATAGATAAGACGCAAATTAGCTCACTTTCACAAAGCCTCCCACCCTTCTTTTATGAAAAAGAAAAATTGAAATAGTGCAACAATACATAAGTAAATACAGTTTAGTTACTTGCATGAAGTTTAAAAAAACAATTAACCAGCAGTTTTTTGTCCTGAAAGTAAATACTAATTTATTGATGAATTATGATAATAGTTTGCACAATATCTTCAATGCAATCTTTTTTCACCAACATATTGGATAAACTACAATGAATTTTGCAAATAGGATTTCATATGCATAATTAGTAACACTCTTAAGCACTTCGTTACATTATATACAGTGTAATAATATTCTTAGACATTTGTTTTCCTTCAGATTGGTTTGAGATTTTCTTTTCGGAGCACTGTGCGCCGGCTAGAAGTCGATTAACCGATATTTGGCTACATAACAATTTGTTACATCTCTAAGCCATGCAATAAATTAATACCTCATATTAGCAGTGGCTCATAACTCAACAGAGCAAATGATATCCTTAAGCAATGGCAATTTTCATTTTGTCTGTAATCAGTTAAATAACATGTCTCACAAAAAAGTTTTTTAATATAAACTACTAGCATAAGGTGTGAGCAGCTGATTCACTATTAATTGAAAAATAGTAAATTTATTAAACTATTTACAAGAATAAAATTACTCAGCAGTGGGAACGTAACTATGGATAGATAGCATTAACGTCTGTGAAAAATTTGTTATCATGTGTAACCAGAATAAGGTTTGTCACCACCATCAATGCGACTGTGATGAGTTAGATTTTTCTGAGAAAAACTCATATAACATACTCTGCAAGAATAAGGTTTATCTCAAAAATGAGTACGCTTGTGTCTTCATTTTGAAAAACTCTTATTGCATACTCTTCCAGAATTTTTTTTTGCCAGTATGAGTGCTACTGTGATTAAACAGTGCATGCCTATCTGAAAACTTTTATTACTTTATTTCACATGTCACAAGAATAAGGTTTCTCTTCATTCAGTATGAATGCGACTGTGAATAGTTAGCGCCTGCTTTCTTGAAAAACTTTTATTACATGTAGTGCAAGAATAAGGTTTCTAGCCAGTATGAGAACGACTGTGTCTCGTTAGTTGATCTTTCTTTGCAAAACTTTTATTACATTCACTATACAAGAATAATGTTTCTCACCAGTATGAACACGTATGTGCTCTGTTAATTTTGTCCACTGCGAAAAACTTTTTTTACATATTTCCCAAGAATAAGGCTTTTCACCGGTATGGATATAAGTGTGGTTTGTTAGATAATGTTTTTTTGAAAAACTCTTATCACATACACCACAAGAATTAGGTTTCTCACCAGTTTGAGTACAATTGTGTTTAGCTAGCTGATCTTTCTTTGCAAAACTTTTATTATATTCACTATACAAGAATAATGTTTCTCACCAGTATGAACACATATGTGCTCTGTTAATTTTGTCCAGTGCGAAAAACTTTTATTACATATTTCCCAAGAATAAGGCTTTTCCCCGGTATGGATATAAGTGTGGTTTGTTAGATAATGTTTTTTTGAAAAACTCTTATCACATACACCACAAGAATAAGGTTTCTCACCAGTTTGAGTACAATTGTGTTTAGCTAGTTTATCTTTCCTTGCAAAACTTTGATTACATACACTACAAGAAAATGGTTTCTTGCCCGTATGACCACTAGTGTGCCTTGACAGTAAACTCCTCCGCGAAAAGCTTTTATTACATACTCTACTAAAGTAAGGTTTCTCCCCAGTATGAGTGTGACTTAGATCAGACAGTGCACGTTGGAATGAATCTTAAATAAATCATAAACTTATATAATGGAAAAATCATAAATTTAAATAGAATGTCATTAAAATGATAGAAATTAATACAATGTGGGAAAATGGCAATAATGACAACTTAGCACAACAAAGAATATTCAAAATCTTACCGGACATTTAATTTATTTCTTTGATTGATTTAACAGAGCATGATATTTTTAATTGAATTATGAATATTTTTAATTGAATTATGAATGAGTAATTGAAATTTTAATGGCCATAATGCCAAAACATAAATATTACTCATCTACCAACATAATGAATAAATCTAAACTGAAACTGAAAACCAAAAGGGAAGAAAAAAAACAAAACAAATCTTTCTTGATTAACAGTACCCGTGGCTCCATCTGTTATTGAAATTATAATTAAAAGTCAAAACATCCTGCCAGCCAAGGAGGTGGATATGTCATTTCTTAATGAATGGGCATACCTTACAAACAGATCTGGTGAACTCTCCATGAGCTGTTTTCTGTTTAAGAACTCTAACTATACCATCTCGTCCTGGAAATACTTGCACAACTCGTGCAAGAGTCCACTTCAATGGGGGTGAAACATTGTCATTTTTGAGAAGAACTAAGTCTCCAATATAAAACTCTGAGCCAGAAGCAATCCATTTAGACTTTGCTTGTAGAGTTTGGAGATAATCTTTACTCCATTTGTTTCAAAATTGAGCACGAAGTTTTTGAATTAAAGACCATCTAGACTTGAGACACATGGATGGTGATGGGTTTCTCTCAGGCAATGAAAGAAGTGGAGCACCCACAATAAAATGCCCAGGGGTAAGAGCCTCTAGATCACTTATTTCTGAGGTTAAGGGACATAACGGTCGAGAATTGAGGCAAGCCTCAATTTGGCACAAGAGCGTAGCCAGTTCTTCGAAATTTAGTATAGCTGAGCCGCATACTTTTAGCAGATGTCTCTTGGTTGATTTAATATTAGACTCCCAGAGTCCGCCAAAATGAGGTGTTGCAGGAGGAATAAAGTGCCAAGAGATTTGAAGATTGCTGGAAAAATCTTGAACTGAATTGTCTCGAACAATTTTGTACAGAGACTTCAAATAGTTACTGGCTCCTTTNGCCGGATGTAATGCATCGGCTTCGATGAAGATAATTTTGTGAGAATTTTTTTGATAATTTGGTGAGAATTCACCCGATTAGACATATGATGCTCACTACGTGCTCTTGCGCACCGAAGCCTATCAATTAAAACGTATTAGCGTTTTATATAATATAGATTAGCCATATGATGCTCACTACGTGCTCTTGCGCGCCGAATCCTATCGATTAAAAATGAAAACAGTTGCCAACGCGAGAAAAGAAATATCATCGGTTTTATTGATACATACGTATTAGCGTTTAATATAATATAGATAGATTATCAATATGTCTAAGTTAACAATAAAATAAATGAATGAATAACAATTATACATCATATTAGAATACCATGCACTATTATTGTCTTCAGGCAATGAAAATGACATTCTTCAATTTTTCACAGTATCAGTAAAAAACATTTTACGATTTCAAACAGTCTTTTCTTGGTCATTATACGAAGTTGACTTCAAGAGTTATGAAGCATTTGGCAGTGTGCCAACTTATGCGGGCAACCCTGAAAAGAAATAAAAATAATATATACATATTCATATAACTATGAGACTCTACTCGCACAACTCTGTAATTTTTTTATTATTCATAATCTTTGTTTCCCTCTCCTTAAACTTCATTGATTTTCCAAACATTCAGATCAGTTTTTTCCCAAAATGTTCAATTATTGTAGCTTATTTGAAAAATTTGTACTTAGGAGAAAAACTATACTAAAGGAGTACAAATTACAGGATATAATAAGAAGAAATAAATATGAAGTAATTTTACTCTTTGATAATACTTGGAAAAATACAAATAGAGAACACTTATTATTGCCTTCAATTAAATTAATTATTTTTATTTTTGAAAATTTTAATATAAACATTAAGATTTAAATCTAAAACCATGTTATTACTCTCTATTTTTATTTTATTTATTATTTTTATTGTCCACAACAACTTTAAATTTTGAACTACTTGAGCATCCATTTATAAAATAAAAAAAAGCAAAGATCACACAAGAGAGAAACAAATTTTGTATAACAGTGAATGTACAGTCAATATGCAAAGCAAAAATGCTTAAGGAAAAAGAAAAAAAATCACGTAAAGCACCCTCATAAAGTTTGTAAAAAAAATGGAACTTTTTAGCACGTAAAATTTCAACTGTGATGTTGAATTTTAGTGAGTATTAGATTTTCCAACAGGGTTGTTTCTTTCAACACAAGTTCAACAGTTCTTATCAGTATTACCAATTCTAAACTAATAATCAAATCGTTTTTTTTTAATTTTTTTTTTTTTAAATTTTTGTGAAAGTTTCGTACATTGTTTTACATACCTTCACAATATCAGGTGTCTAAGACTTATGAACTTTTTGCAGCAATAAAAAAAGAGAGAGAGAAAATTCACAAAACAAATCAATAACTTTCGAACAAATTGTTAGAATTTTGAATAAAATTCTGCTAAGTTCATACAGAAATATGGCCCTAATTTCATTTCTGTGAACAGTAGACTGACCCACACAGCGTCCTTACCAACAAATTTAACAGTTAATAATTTTGAAAGAATTTATTGAATACTATTTTAATCCATCATAAACCCTGTACATTTTTCTACACGCCTTAGTAATTTCAAGTCATAGTTTCTGCACAGGAAAACAAAATAAAACCTAAGATTGTTGTTGTTGTTAATTTACGTCGCACTGGAGCTGCACAATGGGCTATTGGCGACGGTCTGGGAAACATCCCTGAGGATGATCCGAAGACATGCCATCACAATTTTGAAATAAAACCTAAAGTTGAGCACATAAAACAGCAACATTATCATTATTTAATAGAGATAAGAAAAAAAAGCAGCATATTTTAATACTCGAAAAAAATTATTGCAATTAAAATCAATATATAAATTATATTAACAAGTACAGTTCAAAAAATGAAAAAAATATATAAACTTTGATGCTTCTAAAGTGAGACCTCATTCTAATAAATAAATGCCAACTATTAAATAAGAGAAACACACAAGAACTATTGTGGTCTATAATAAATATAGAAAAAAATATATTAAAAAAATAAATAAATACATATAGAACTTTTTTTTGCTGATGGCAGATTTTTTGTTATTAAAATATGGAGGGGGTACTTAGTATGAAAAATATCATCCCAATAAGATGGCCTAAAATTTGATCCCCTTCATGTTAATTTCACTTTTAAGTATTTAGCCATATCTCGGGAAGTTTAAAGGCGAAATGGAAAATTTCTACACACAATCCTAATTTGTTTTTTAATCTAAAGATCGTTCCATGCAAAATTGAATTTTAAATAACTTCTTAAAATTCTTCATTGTATTAGGATCCAATGATACTGAATAGAAAAAAATATTAAAATGTAATATATAGAAATTTTAATAACCTTTGGAACTCCGTAGTTTTGAGTGACAAAGTATAAAATTTAAGTGAAATCAGTGGAATAGTTTCTGAGTCATACAACTTTTAAAAAAAGCCATATTTTTAAAATTCTATTTCCCAAGAACTACACTGGTTATCATAAATTAAGGAAAAATCACAAAAATAGCGATAACTCTTTCAAAAGTAAGCCAAACCGTGNCTTTTAAAAAAAGCCATATTTTTAAAATTCTATTTCCCAAGAACTATTTGACTGATTTCGTTAGTTTTTTGCTTCCTATTAACCTAGTAAAAAGTACTTAGTTAATAATAAAGTAAAAGTTTATTTACCTGTGAAAGGATACCTTTCGATCTTTGTTAAATAAACCCACTAAAAACCTGTTTTTCAAATGGAATAATCTTTTGACAAACTAAATATATAGCTGTGTGCCAAAATTTTTGGATTTGCTTCATATAATCAAGCGATGGTTAAAATATCAGACCTCTGATTTTATATATATATATATATATATATATATATATATACATGTCCCGC